CACCTGAGTTGGACAATTAGTTTCATGTATTGCTTTACCTTGAGCATCTCACCTCCGTGGCATAGGTGATTTTCTCATTGACCGCGTTGGTCCTCGCCTTCACTTCGAGAGCCGCTGTCATCGATTTGAAGTAGCCTTCCGGATTATGTTAGATTGATGTGGACTCATGACCAGTACACCAACCTTCTAATTCAGGTTCAGTCCAGTACAGGTCTGGTGTGTCAGAGAAGTTCTCCCTGTTGAGGTTAAGGCCCTGGCGAAACTTCATAAGCGCTCCGAGCTTCTTGATAAGAGCTTCCCTGCTTAGACCAGGCTTCCCCGTCTTCTCGAGGGAGTGCGGCAGAAGTGCTACGGAGGAGAGATAGTCCTCAAGTGATTCCTCGAGACCCGAAAGAGCTGTAGAACGCGATAGTGCTTGGGAGAATGCATATCGTGCCAGAAGGGTATCTGCGGGGAGTGCAGGGGAAACTGGTGGTACGGTAGGGGCATTTTCAGGGTACTCGAGCGGTGCTACACATCCAAGGATAATCAAATCTCCTTGTATTCGAGTTTTTCTGAGGAAGGAGTTGTTGTAAGTAAATTTGACTCGAGCAGTTGAATCGAGTACCCACTCTGTTGGATCTGTTACAAATTCCAGTTCCTCTGTCTCTGGGTCCTTTAAACGGCCAACCTCACTAGGGGCAAGGACTTCTCGTGCAAATCGTCGTGCTTCTCCCTCTCCAAGACCCCAGCACACAAAACTTCCATTTGAGAACACAAAAATCTCGCCCCCATCGCCCCAGTGTGGAACCCACCAGGAATCATGAAGCGTCTGTGTATCCGGAAGACGAGAGCGTAATCTCGACAATAAGTAGCGTTCTGCAGTTGCAAGAGTGATCACAGGCTTGATAGAACTTCTAGTAGGCGTCGGGTTGGAACGAATGGGTATCGATGCAGATGCACTACGACGAAGTGGTGTACTTGCTTTTGGCTTGTGCTTTGGTGTCTCCGAAGGCTCCACGTCTACAGAAGCTGAGAAGGCACGAGCATAGAGGAACCAATGATTACGATGTACTGCTGCAGACGTGAGACTAGTATGATTAGAGTATGAGCGCAAGTTTGGGTGAAGACTAGCAGTCCTGAGTCCTCTGCACAAACTGTTCATGGAGAAATGGGACAAGTACAAACGCAAAGCTCAAGCTTTAAGCTATAGATGATGGGCTGGTGAAGAAAACCGGCACGCGTACGCAATGTCAGCGACTATAGCTACCGGCCGAGCTGAAATTTGCCAGGCTTCGACCAGGAGTCATTGATATTCACGAATCGCTATCACAAGTTCTACAAGTACGCAAAAACTCTCGATAGCACAGAAATGACACCATTCAGTCTTAGTATTTTAATGATCGCCTTTTCATAAGTTTCTTCCGTCTGGTTGGTGGGAAGGTTTACAGCTGGCCCCAGCGGCTCTTTAGTCAATTACAGGAATGCCTCGCTCACCAAAGATTACTATGAGCAGACCCGACAGTCAACTGTAAGAGGCCATACGAACATTTCCTAGAGCTTCATCTATCTGATGTTGTATGATTTCGCTTGTTGTAATAGTCTCGATTCTCGAAGAGGCATTGCAGCTGTTTTTTTTTGACAGAGAATAACGTAGGCGAGTTCTCGGCAAGTAGCATTCACGAAGTTTATGCCTGATGCTATAGGAACGGCTAAAAAGCAACAGCGGTATATCAGTAGTGTGAGGGTGTATACCCTAATACAATGCGATGTCAAGTTTCGACAGCCACGGCTCATTAACAGCCACGCCAGATTATGCCTATGCAGGGTTCTGAAATGTGGGTTCAAGTCAAATCACACGGAGCAGAATTTATATTTGTCGACGTACTTCAGCTGAAAAGGTTTGTCAATCAGGCCTTATGATCATTTGAGACAAAAAATTTGACCGTTACCCTTGCAGTGTCGAAGGGCAGAAATAATGGTCGTGTGCCGGATTTGCGGTTGACAGGGTGCTTGTATCCAGTATGAGTAGGAAGTACATTTCCATTGCGTCCGAGCATGTATGCTGTAGGGTAGATATACAAAGGAGTGCGAGGAACACTTGCTATGCTCCGTGGAAATTTGTCAAAGCGGACACAGATCACGAACTCTTTCCTGGTTGCGCATTGCGGATTTCTGCACGTGGTGCCATCTTGTAACCTTCGAACCCAAGAGACTTCTGCACGTCTTTGTCACTTGCATCTGGCTCAAGATGACCTTGAGCATTACGACGGGCTCTATATAATTAGTATTTAGAGTTGGTGAATTTTACGGTAACGGAGAGACACGCACTTGAAGAACGTATACGAGAGCACGACGTCATCAATGCCCCTACATGCAGGGTCATCGAGAACGTCTTTGTCTATGAAAAAAAGGAGCGGCATATCGACTTCCTCTCCTGCGAGCAATTTCTGCTCCTCAAAGCAAAAGCACTCTACTTTTGAAAAGTAGGGTGCGATCTACACACCATCCAAGATCAATGGCTGCTGATGTCCGACATCTAGTGCGGTACCCACTCGGTCAGGCGTGACATTGTACGTTGCGATTCCAATTATGTCCTTTTTACTCTCGTTCTTGGCCTTATAAAAAGCAAGACTGGTCTCTCCGGGAAGGACTGTAACGAACTTCTGCTGCGGAGTAAAAGCCCATGGTAGCGCTTCAGCACGGTCAGCATTGAAATGAACCTTGATGCGGCGTGCTCCGTCAACAGGAACCAGGCGCTCAGGCTCGAATCGGCCTGTACCGACATTGGGAGTACCAGCGAAGCCAGTGGCTGCGCAGAACATCCGGTAGAGCGGAACTGCAGCATAAGTTACCCCTACGGCGAATACAATCTGTTAAGATGGAATGAAAACATATGAGAAATAAGGCAGCGAAAGCATACGACGGCAGAAGAGTACATCAGCAGATTGCGATTCCGGGCGGCGTATAATGACTGTCGGGATGCATATGGTGGAGTATATGATTTAGCGTTCGAAGGTGTCTTGGGATGCATATTGGTGGCCATTGTCCGCCGAAATATGGAGTGTGATGGCGACCATGAGCAAGGATTTTTACCAATACGGGTCAAGAAATCAATGCTGTTGACAGCATGCAATGAACGGCTCAATGAACGGCATCGAAAGGACGGGTCCAGGCAACGAGCAGTCTATGAAAAGATTAGCGAGACAGAGATGATTAATCTGCAAACACACTCACAAACTGAGGCGCACGGCCTGCCTTCAAGAGAGGCACACACAGCCTGAAGGACATCGCCGTTGATGGCGACATTGGCGAGCACGACATTTTTGCTTCCGACTTCCAAGTGCAAGCACGTGACTTTGCAATTGGGTGCTTACCGAACTATACTTGAATCAAATCACCTACGACGACGACGACATCATGTCGACGGGAACATCGACACCTTCTAGTTCAAAGATACCCGCTTTGACAAGCGATACTGATATAGAGCAGCTGCTCTCTCGGGAAGCATCTGCCTTCCAACGTGAGCTCGAGGTCGAGCGGATTCTCAAGGCGTTCAAGCTCAAGTACGTAGCTACACGTTACGGTTTGATCAGTCATTTAGCATTATGACCTAGCCCATATGATATTCTTGACATAGACGAGTCTTCAAAGCCCGAAGGAATCAAGCGCAGATACCGGCAATTGTCCCTCTGTGAGCGATCTCGCTTCACTCATCCTCTCATTCATAGAATATAGCTGACGGTTTTGCGCCTTCGTAATCATGGTTCTTTGTTTGGTGATTCTGCTCGACCTCAAATTCGGCTTCGCTTTATGTCTGGTCAATTTTGTGCATGCGTACGTTGTTCCGTAACAAGTCATCCATCCTGACAAGACCCCCCACGCTCGTGCTCCAGATGCATTCGACCTTCTCAAGAAGGTGCGGTTTTCTTCTTTTCATGACCCCCTCCCATGCTTCTAACTCTTTAATTGAGTTTATTTCTATATCATCTTCCGTTACTCACAACACTCTCACTCCAACGGAAGTTTGAATATTCACTTTCCTCGCACGTCATTTGGTTTGTCGCACACATGTGAATCCAAATTCTCACTCTTGACCCAGGCCGAATCCGAGCTATCCGACACTGCCAAACGCGAAGCTCTCGATGCCACAATTACAGAGGCGCGCCTACAGCTCCTCCGTAGTCACGGTTTCTCTACGAGCACGCAGGACGATGATCCGAAACTTCGAGGTCTGGTCCCGTCCTTCAAGGTGCAGTTGCGAGCAAAGGTGAAAGATTTGTTAATTGAGGAAGAGGTTAGACGCAGGAAGTGAGACATTTTCCATTGTCATTGAGTTTTGTTGCAGTTCTGATGATTCGGTATTGTTGAAGAGCGATCAAGATGAACCTTGCGAATGAGGGACTGGAAGCCCGGAAAAAGGAGGAAGAAGTCGCTACAAGGAAACGTAAAGCGGAAGAGGATAAGACATGGGAAGGTGCGTCTTGTGATTTCTTTGGTCACTACCACTTTCATGAATCATTATCTATCACTTGCTTATAGAGTCCCGCGAAACCCGTGTTGATTCATGGCGATCATTCAATAATACTACAAAGAAGAAGAAAAAGACGAAGGTTCAGATCCTCGGATGATTCCTTGGACCACCTATATATTGGACACTCCCTAGGGAAACCCCGACGCCCTGCCATTGAACCTCGTTCACCCGCTTGCGTTCGAGTGTTTATATTAATACCGTCTTTTCTTGTAAACCATAGTTCTTTCCGATGTATGAGATCTGCTATACCACAAGGGCATGCTTCATGCACTTGACTGCCCTTAGCACGCGTGTATTCAAGACCGACAACTCCAATTCGTCACACATGTTGGAAAAAGGAAGCACAAGTAGACTCACACATATCCACTTGGTAATAAGGCCGCAGATAACTAGGCTCTTCCATCTACTCAACAAGAAATAATTGCATCATGCCAGGGGCTAGGGCTCTCGCGGGTCTTTTATCTGGGCAGCGAGACGGCGATCTCGAAACAGTTTAAATCTCTGGTCATATTCGAGGGATGGGTATAAGTGGACGGAGGGAATTTAGTTGGTGCATTATTGAAATCAGCACAACGGAGGTGAACATTCAGTTCTACAGAAACTTGCTGATTCCCTTGTCCTTGGGAGTCGTACGAAACTGTAATACATGAGCTATGACTAGATTAATCCCCACTTCCTCAAATCGATTGCGATGTGTGTCTACAATCTCATCACTGACCACCTCATCATGAAAAACTGTATCTCATGAATCGCAACTTCCTCTAACTCCGTTTCTACCTTTACACTGCCCTTTTCGAATACCTCACCATCCCATAAAGATGTCCAACTTTGGGGAGAATGAGCGTATAACCGATGCTCAGAGCCCGATATATTGGCAGTTACCATGCCTTTTTCTAGATTTCCGACCTGAGAACCACAGATAACTGAACCTGGCTGCGCAGATAACAGACCCGCGAGAGCTCTGGCAAGATGCAATTGTTTATCCTCAGTGAAAAGATGGAAAAGCCTTGTAGCACTGATTGCACTAATGCGGCCATGAAGGGGATTGAGGGATTTCAACGAGGACACATCGATAGCTGGGGCCGAAGAGACGTCGTTCGGCTGCGCAGCTATTGGAAGAAATTCTGGATCGAAGACATCTCCGGGAAGGAGGCATCCCGGGTAAGAAGTTGGTGTCGTTCTGAAAAGTTCGTGGCTGAGCTCGAGGAACTCTGTATATGCACGCATCCGAATCGTTAGCAAGAATGTTTCACAGACAAGATAAATTACCGTTGATGATATCTGAAGCAATGATATTTTTCGCAGGAAAACCATCTGCTGCAGCCTTTCTGGCATCAACACCGACTGAAAATGGAGTCAAGCTTATCCAACAAATTAAATCATAATGTGACATACAACAACAGCCAAGGTCGAGTAACACGGCATCGGGGCGCTCACGGCCGAGCTTCAGGATGTGTTCGTACACAGGAAAAGTCGATATGTTGAGGCTGAACGCGATTCCTTTATTATGAGTCGATTCGGATACATGGATTACAGCTCACGTACCGAAGAAAGACAAATCCGTGAATACAAGGATACGGTGCAATCTTTCAACGGCAGGGTTATTTAACTTACGGTGAAGTTCTCTGCAAGTAACTCGCCTTGTATGCTTTCGCCTGCACCTCCAGGATATGCCTCTTCAAGTCTTCGTCGTCGTCGATGCCGATTTGCGCTTTAAAGAACGCAGCTTCTTCGGAAGACAAATCATAAAGGCTGGTGTCTACTGTTGGTAGCGATGAGGTCTGAAACGTCACGTCACCCAACAACGTCGTAGAGTCGTTATGTGTAGCAATACCATCCATCATGATGGGATGTAATTTGTGCTACCCCAGCATTCTGCATCCTTTTCAATGTGTCTCAGCTTGGCTGCGGCATTCAGAAATTTCAGTGGTGATTCGGACGCTGGCCTAAATTTGGCGCAGTTCGGCTGCGTGACTCATCATCCGAGAGTCTCGTAGAAGTTAGAACCCTTACTGATTCCACTGAAAAATAATATGAAGAAAACCTAGTAGTAAATCTTTGAACGCAGTTCTGAAACAAAGTTGTTCATTACCTTGGAGGATCTCAGGCTGGGTCTCCATCCAAGATCATTGCAGGTGGATCAAGTGGTAGGGAAACCTCAATGACATGCCCTGCTATCGAACCTCAAAGTTCATCCACGATAGCACTAGTGCTTAAATGTTTTAGTCAGGGTGACCCTGCCATGAAGCTAGTTCCCTGTTCTGGTATGCGTTTCACCATCAGGGGCAATGCTCGACTGATGGTGGTGAATCCTTACTTACATCGCTGCATCAATGTGTCAACACATCATAGTCCATTTATATACGCAGCATTGTGTTTGACGAAACCCTAACGTGGGAGTCGCCGGGTACTGTGTCAATTACTATTACGAAGACTGCCCAGCTTAACATAGCTTCACTGATGAACATTCTACAACGTTGATGCTTATAGACGCCAGTCGTTCGCGTTTAAAAGGACGTGGAATGCAGCCTCAAGACAATTATTGCAACTTCCTTCTGAAGAAGCTTCGAGATGGAAGGCGCTTCTATACATGGGGCACTCAGAGTCCACGATGACCCTGGGCGATATAACATTTCAGACTTCGTCAGTCCCAACAGTAGACGCCAGCCTCTACAACCTGTCTCCCGCACAAGCTGCATTCTTCAAGTCACAAACCGGTATTGATAATGACGAAGACTTGAAAAGGCATATCCTGGAAGTTCAGGCGAAAGCATACAAGGCGAATCATTTCCAGAGGACTTCATAATAAGTTTACTAATCATCTGCTACTGACAGATTGCACCATATCCTTGTATTCATGGATTTGGCTTCCTTCGGTATGTTTTCAGTAGGTCTACATATCGCACGGAAATTGAACATTCCTTAGATTAAACTTATCAAACTTTCCCGTGTATAAACACATCCTCAAGCTTGGTCGTGAGCGTCCTAATGCCGTGTTACTCGACATTGGTTGTTGCTGTACGTCAAATCATACCATTTTTTGGATAATATTGACTCCATTTTAGTTGGTGTTGACGCCAGAAAGGCTGCGGCAGACGGGTTTCCCGCTAAAAACATCATTGCGTCGGATATCGTCAACGGTAATACAATTTCCTGTGCATTGTCATTCCTGCTAACGATGTGTATCACTATGTGCAGAGTTTCTTCAACTAAGTCACGAACTTTTCAAAACGACACCAGCTTCTTACCCTGGATCCCTCATTCCTGGAGACGTTTTCGATCCAGAATTTCTCTCTATAGTTACGCCGTCGGACGACGTCTCTCCGGTGTCAGCTATTGATTTATCCCCCCTGAAATCCCTCAGCCCCCTTCATGGTCGCGTTAGCGCAATAAACGCTATTGCATTCTTCCACCTCTTCAGTGAAGAGAAACAACTGTACGCCGCCAGGGCTCTTGCGGGCCTTCTATCGGCTCAGCCAGGCTCTGTAATTTGCGGCTTTGACAACGGAGCTGTCGAAAAGGGTATCAAAATAACCAATTTATCAGGCATTGAATATCAGGGATTCAATCATTCTCCCGAGTCCTGGTCATCTTTGTGGGATGGAGAGGTTTTCGAGAAGGGGACTGTCAAGGTGGAAACAGAGTTGGTAGAAATTCTGATTTTCGATAAGCGACACTTGATGATGATGTGGTCAGTGACTAGATTGTAGATAGGTGTTACAATAGGACGCATCCGAGGTGTAGGAGACGATCTTCGTTTCGGCCTGGTACCCTTCCGTCTGCTAGTGAACCTGATTGTACAAGATGACATCAGGTGTCTCCACTAAATTTAAATAGCGATCCTAACACTTGAAACCAAGTGGTGGCATAATTGACCAACTAAGAATTTGCCTGATCAAAAAAATTTAATCAGAAATCACGATTATATCCTCGTCGACTCCCACCCGCGTCCGTGTTGGAACATTCTCTTTACCGTAGTCTGAGTCGTCCACATACATGCTATCATCCGATTCGACGTCAATTACATCTTCCCGCAAGGTGGACGGAACATATTGACGTCGAGTGGAAGCAGGGCCCGGTGCGCTACGTTGGCGTTGGACCGATGCGGGACTGATTCGAGGATGTGATGTCATTGTGCTAACAGTCGGGACTATGGACGGTCGAGATGAGCCAAATACCATCTACTGAGAAGTCATCATTCCTTAAATACCTTGATGACGTGGACCTGTCGCTCGCTCAGCGTTCATGTGATGCTTGTCTCGTATATCAGAACCTAAGCCTTTCACGCCTGAAGGCTTAGAAACCGTTGCCAATGCTTCTGCCTCTATTTTTGCCGCTTGAACAAGGAGTTCATCATCGATGTCTAGGTCCATCAATTCTAAGTCGTAATCTGAGGGTGGTGACATAGGTCTTGCGGATGGAGTATTTCGCTTTGAGGGCAGTTTGGAGATGGGCTTTGGAGGTGAGATAGGTGCTGATACGAACTCAGTTGTGAAAGCCTCGAATTCCTCGTCCTCATCCAAACTCCACATGGCATCCCGTGGCGCGGGGGAGAGGATCCGAGCTCGTGCCAGGGGAGCAGAGGGGTTATGTTGTGGATTAGACCCGCCCGAGGTCGATGACGAAGGGATTGGGGTGTACAGTGTTGAAGATGTAGAAAAGTACGGCGAGGTGGTCGGCGCAAGACTACCAGAGGGAGGCTTGAGCGAAGAGGTCGGTTTAGAGGATGCGACAAGGCTAGACGAGGTGGAAGCAGGAATAGAGCTCGACTTTGAGGCTGCTCGTGTTGAGCTTGTTTTTGGTGCTGCAGCAGATAGGGGTTTTGATCGAACTGCTGAAGCTGTGGCATCAGTCGGCGTTGGACCTTCGGGTGGATCACCAACAGGCCGTCTGTTAGAAGCAGGAGGAGATGGAACTCTGGAAAGTGTGGGCGCCTGCGGTGGAGCCTCCGCCTCACCAGGTAGTTGTGGGTTGGGTTCTGGGTCGGGTTGGCTAAAGGGTATCAATTAGTTTGATAATTATTTGAACGGACGGAACTCACCCAAGCCTCCGTCTCAGGCTGCGCAGAAATATTTCATCCTGCATTACTTCATGGTCTTCTGTTTGATGTTCTTTCAGCTCAATCGTCTGTGGTTCAAGAAAGATAATGCCTCTGCGAATTCGTACGTCCTTCAAGAGGATCTAACAGTAGGACCGTGACTCTGTGAAAACGAGACATAAAGTGGCTGACCAACGCGTACCTTGTACCCTAGCGGAGTGACGCCAAGTTCAAGCTGTGGTATGGCACGATATTCCACAGCCTCAACAGTTGTAAAACCATCGCTTAATTCGAGACGCAGCATGCCTCTCGGATACTTTGGGACTGGGCCCTCGTCCTCTTCTGCGTCCTCTTCATCCTCCCTGACCAGGCCAGCCAAGTCCGCTCGATCCATGCGATTTTGCCTCACATTCATCAAGCTAAACGCACTAACGCCAATGTCGCTAATGGCACGAATTTCTACGAGACATGGAAGGCCTGTAAGACGAGCATTTTTGATGTTACGGATATTTTGTGGGAGGCCAGTGTTCGGCAGGGTGGAGTCTGTGAGGTTGGACTGCAAGAATTGAGAAGTTACATGGGCACTAAACTGTGGAAAGTCAGTTGGAGAAAGGGTGTATGAGGATGCGATCCATGAGCAGCAGTCACGAAGCCAAACCTGTGGGTGAATGAATATTATAAATACAAACCATTGATTAGAATTTTACTGGATCTAAAGCTGGACGTGGATGCTGTTCGTTGACCCATTTAACGATGTTTGCAGGTGCAGCAGGTTCAGCCATCGACCGTTCGGAAGCTAAAATTTAGAAACAACTTGAAAGGCGCGTTAACGCTACGACGTCGCGTGTGTCACACCATTTCATGATTTAAGTCACGTGTTACACTGGCAGTACTGTTCTTTGCTCACCACAATTGAAACTGGCATGATCTCAAGGTCAACGTTAGGCGGCCGCATAGCATTCCCATACTGCTCGAGGCTATCCCGGAGCTCCCCGTACATCTTCTCGTCGAGACGCGCTAGGTTGAGCACCATGGAAAAGTTGCCGCGTTTGCCAGTGCCAGACCTTCGCAAGACGCTGGACCGTTACTTACAGTCTATCCAGCCTTTTTTACGTGAAGACGAGGCACGTGGTCACTCTCTCTTTGAATCGAACTACGAAAAACGCGTTCAATGGGCAGACGATTTTGAGAAAGGTATTGGCCGCCTTTGTCAGCATAAACTCCATGGTATGTCCCTCCGTTAATCCAACAAAATTCAATTCACGTGTCGGCAGAATTGGACGCTCGATCGCCACATAACTGGCTAGATGATAATATCTGGACGAACTATGCCTACCTTTCATGGCGTGTCCCGCTCCTCATTAATTCCAACTGGTGGCTTACACTCGTTAATGATCCGTCCATACCCGAGTCTATCCTGCGCGGTGACACTCGATCAGGTATAGAGCCTTGGCAGGTGCGCCGGGCCGCGTATATATTGCATCGTGTTCTCGACTGGCGCGCCCGCATGGTTAATCAGCATCCAGACCCTGATACAACCCGTACTGGTGTCTGGCTCCTCACTAATACGGAGAAGATGTTCAACACATGTCGTTTACCAAGAACTGGAGCAGATGTCCTTGCAACTAGAAATCCGTCATCTGAGTATGCCCAGGATATCATGCTCATGTTATATGATTTTGTGTATACTGTAAGGGTCTGTGAGGATGATCGGACACCATTGCCTGTACAGACCATTGAGGATCGAATACGTGCGGTAGTACTAGATGTAATTAAGAGAATGGAGTCTGGGGAAAGCGCCGTGCCAGTCGGTGTCTTGACTTCGGATGACAGAGACTGTTGGGCAGAGGTCAGTACATCTTTCGCTCTTATTTTCTTGCTCATCTCGTTACTGACCGGCATCACTCCCATAGGACTATCAACACTTGCTCTCCCTTTCACCCACAAATGCCTCGACCTTCCGCGCTATCAGTGAATCCATAATGGCTCTTTCCCTCGACCATTACACTGCCATGCCATCGCATTACCCAATCTCGACCTCACCAAATTCTTCCCAATCATCTCAGGCAAGCATCCCAGCATTAGACACTGACGCCGAAATCCTCGCACACCTCTACAACACCCGCTCCCCTCCCCGAGCTCGGAACAGATTCTTCGACAAAAGCTTGACCCTATCATTGGAGCGCAATACTCGTACTGGCGTAATGGGTGAACATGCACCTGTTGATGCCTTGGTGCCTAGCATCGTCTTTGATTACGGTGTCGTTGCTGGTATCGAACCTTCTGCATTCTCAGAACCGGTTCCGCGCCCTCTCACTTTAGAGGAGGCTCGTGTGAGTGATGGTGGAAAAGGATGGTCCCGTTGGGACTGGGTGACCGACGAGCGGATCGAAGCTCGAATAAGAGAAGCGGAAGGACGGGCTCAGGCCTCGATCAATAACTCAGATGCAGGGATTTTGGACTTTGGAGAATATGGGGCAGATTGGATAAGCAGTGTCGGTGAGTTTTCGACTCCTTATCGATTTTCTGGCATTTTTTGATTTATTTGCTGGGTCGACATTTACCTCTCTCTCTTTCCCTTCTTTCTTTTCTCACCAAGGTCATTAATCACTTCACTATTAGCACACCTTCCACCGGACGCCTACACCCAACTTGCACTCCAACTCGCCTGGTACCGCTCTCGTGGATTCTTCACAGCGACCTATGAAACAGCCCTCACGCGAATGTTCAATGCTGGCCGTACCGAGTGCGTAAGGAGCGCAAGTGTGGAGGCGTTAGATTTTGTTCAAGCTGCTAAGGAATGGGGACGTGGAACTGAATGTGTGGCAGAGGGGAGCCAACACGAAGTGGAGGTGAATTCGTTTCATATGCTCAGTGACGACGGGAACTCATGGTTTTTGATCCACTAATCTTACCAGCCCCGCGCACTTCTTCACCTCCTCCAACACGCCATCCGGACGCATGCAAGGCGCACGAGGGAAGCTGCTACGGGTCGTGGAATTGATAGGCACTTATTAGGCCTGAAGTTGATGCTAGAAGAACTCCCTGTGGATGCGTCCACATCTGCTTTGTCCTCCTTGGACTCTCCCTCAAGTTCAAGTCCCACTGGCCTCCCGCAAAAGCGTACGCACCCTCTCTTCGCCGACCCTCTTTTCTCTCGATCTCAGGAGTGGAAGCTCAGCACTAGTGGCTTGAGTGCCGGTGACCAATTCCGAGGCACTGGCTTTGGCGCTGGCTGGGAAGATGGTTATGGGATTAATTGTAAGTTTGATTCGTTCATTTTATAATTGTTTTGCGGGATCGTCCAACCTCGGGGAGGGACTCTTCGTCTGTAAATGTTTCCCGTCTCCATTTGTTATTGTCGCCGACATCACCATCGGTTGACCAGGTCGACCAGAGGTGTTTCGATTTCGAATTTAACTGGCGATCCCGTTCACCCTCTCCACAAAGCAAAGCTCATATTCTGTCCTCTTACAGATCTCATAGCACCCCGCCGCATCAAATTCTGTATCGAGTCCAAATTCTCATCCCCGCTCACCTCCACGAACAAGTTCAAGCAGCATATTGCAGATGCGCTCCAGGATATGCGGGCGATTTGTGAGGCTGGAGAGCTCGAATTGAAAGACATAAAGAAAAAATCGGTGGATGGGGAAGACACGCGGGTGCAAGCGCGGTTATAGGCCTGGTGGTGTCGACCAAGGTTTGTGCCTTGTCTCTTGAGCGCGAGGACTCGACACTGATGGAGATCGTTTGATTTTGACTGTACTAGATAATCGTAAGCGATCGGACACCATATAGGTTCAATAGAAGTTTGGATACTCGATCGAGAATTCTAATTGACCATCCTCGCTTGTTGCTGCACATACACCTGCCCAACTTGTGTTAACGATTACGATCGTGAGGTCCATACTCCATTAGATCACCCTATACTTATTGCATACCATGAAATACACCACTCTGACATAATTGAAATGAAAAACTCGTTCTTTATTCCAAGAAAAAAGCAAAAACATGTTCATCGTCAAGGAGTACAACCACGCGAGCTATCGTACAAACCAACTGCACAACCGTCAACTAGCATCTCGTGGGCCCACCTACATTGCAATCCTCTCCAGGTCGTCTTTCTCAATCCACTCGTGTTCGTAATACTCCAACAGACTGCCCACGAGTGAGTCATAACCTGCCCGCTTCATGAATTTCTGGCTGGTGCAGATGACCATGCCTTTCTTGCACCGAGTGAGCATGACATTAGTCCGGCGCAGATCGGCGAGGAATCCGAGCGCCGTGGACCGCACGAGTGAGATTACGATGTAGTCCTCCTCGTTACCTGCCGCGAACGAATCATAAGTATGATGGTCATAAATATATATTGAGAACGAACCTTGAAACGAGTCAACATTGAAACACTTATCTTCCCATTCGAGGTCCTTCTGCTTTAAACACTCCTCGATCAAACTCCGCTGAGCGTCGTATGGGGTGATGATGCGGAATTTCTGATTATTTTCTTGCAGCATGTTAGCGATGGAGAGAATGGTTTGGCACTCTCCAAGGTTCTGCGTACAACATTGGTCAACTGCGAGTAACTGAATTCAAGTGACTTACCTTCCAGCTAGTTCCATGTAACTGTTCCTGGCTGGGAATGTTGATAAAATGACAAGCCATCCTCTCGTTCGTGACGGGATGTTGCGGATTTGACTCGAGTAGGCTATCATACACAGCTTCAGATATGAAGGATCCAATTTGAGGGGGCATCCTGTCTACAATAAAATAATAAAATTTGGAGTAGGAACATTAGGAGAAGGACTTACATTGCGTATTCAGGAAAATGGCACGGTCCTTGACATGCTTGACTTCGAAGACGCTCTTGAGGTCCTGAATATCATCCTGACCATGGGGTGGCACTGAAGATATCAGAACATGTGATGGTATGCAGGAAGAGACTTACATTGTTTGTCATCACCAATGAAGCAAACCTTCCTGATGGAAGTGTGAGAGGTAAAGAGAGGAATGTAGTCACCAATCTCAATTTGGGACGCTTCGTCAATGACGAGGGTCCTGATTGGCGCGGCATTAAAACCTCCAAACTTTCGAAGAGCGAAAGATGAGAGCATAGATAAAGTACATAGAATGACTGGGCTGTTCCGGAGCTCCTGAAAAAAAGTAGGCGCCTTGAAGTCGTCGGATATGATGATATTGGCCCGAATGTTGGCATAGAGGTGCTCATGCCTGAAATATGTCAGTCTACCTAACAGGAAAAGTTCACCAGTGAAAGGACTAACCAGTATTCAAAAAACTCCCTTGAGACGAGAAGTTTCCATTTGGTCAGGCCAACATCGGCGAGTTTCTCAGCAATGTTCTTGACAGCAACATTGGATTGGGCAATGAGCCAGATGCCAGAGAGCCCGCCGCGAAGGGCAGTCTGAACAAATGAAGCAATGACAGTGGTCTTACCAGTTCCAGGGGGCCCCTGGATGACAGTAAGACGCCCGTCATTCGATTGTAGGAGCATTTGTTTTACAGCTTTCGTCTGTGATGGATTGAGGGGGCGAGAGATACGGTCGGCACGGTATCTGACAATATCCGCATCGTTCGCCTCCTCCGTCCAGGCGGAGGGCCATCGGAAGTCATCACTGGGAGAGGAAAAGAATATGAGCTGAACCCATGGGTTGTCGTGCTCGAGGTTGATGAGACCTTGAAGGATCTCTAGGACCTTCTGGGCACGTTGGGTCTCAGCCTGCGTACGGTCGTCACGGCCGACGATCTTGATTGAGCCGATAATCTTGCCAATGAAACTGAGACTGTTGGAAGTAGCGAGTTTCGCAGTGCGACCCTGAGACAGGGTAACCTGCCCGTCGACAGTGAAGCCTCGCCCGGCCGCGGCGTGCTCACTAATATCAATGAATGCACGCTGAGAGAATTAGTTGTCAAGTAAGGCACAGCGCGGACACGCAAACAACATACCTGATGCTGACCCTTACGTATCTTGTTCTGGTATCTGTCGGCCTGGGCATGGATATGGTTGTTCCGATGATCAACAGAAGTGGGAAATTTGCGTGTGAACTCAGTGGGCTTCTTCTGCTCGAGTTGAAACGAATCCTTCGAGCTCTTCGCAAGGAATTCCAATGCCTGTGATTATGATCAGCAGCATCATTCGTCTAGAAAGCAGCGACCTACCTCGTCAGATAGCCGGAAGGTGTCAACTGGGGGGACTTGGGCAAGGCGATCCTCCATGATTGAGAGTTGCGATAGGTAGTGTGCGATCCATGCACGTAGTGCAAGTGAAGTGGTGCCATTCTTAATGGCAGGACGATCATTGATGATAGTATTATCGCGGAATATTTTGTTGATGTTTACATCAAGTACACGATGAAGATCACCAACGGCCTGTTTAATGATGGAGAGCGGGGTAGTAGTTGTTTTTGATCCTGCGCATTGTATATCGATCGCATTTGCAATTCGAAGATCAAGTGTTTGAAATAGAGCAAGAGCGATGGGAGCGACATCGAAAGCGTATAAGAACCCGGTGGTGCGACGAAGGAGGTTCTGTGTCAAAAACACCCGAGCGTCAGTGTCACTGGCAGGTGTAACGGGGCGTTCATCGTGTTCGTTGCCCTTGCTCTTCTTTAACTCGAATTCGATGATGAAAATTGTAGACGCGTCAGCAATTGCAAGCATCGCGAGCTCTCCAGTGAGCGCGAATCCGCCTGCAAGGCCAAGGGCGCGTCCCTCATTCCTTTCGAACAGACTGCGCAACTGATGTTGCTCTTTGATCAAGTCGCATTCAGATATAATGTGGGCTGACAGCTGTCCGCTGTCAACTTCCATGAGGTGCTGGTAGAGCAGTTTTGTCGCTGTAGGCATGATTAGATATGATGGTGGTGGTGAGTGGCAATGTCTGACGATGGAGCGCGACTCTATTTCAAGGTCTACTGGTACAACGAGGCTCCGGGCCCGAAGCCTCATGACCAGGTGAACCCGGGCGCTTGTTGAGTCCAGTTGGGGTTTCCGAGCAGTCCTCGTGGTTTCCAGCCCTTCAAGTTTAAGCGGCTTTCCGAGTCTTTCCATTGTCTACAGGTATCACAATCTCCCCACAGCCTTTCAACCACTTTTGAAAGTATCGTCCAGACTCTTTCCCGTTCAAGCTCTTTTTCTGGCTCTGAAACTCCATGGGAGGATCTAGATGCATTTGTGATTCTTTTCACAGACTTGTCGTTTGGCTAAGTATCGCCGACGGCTCGCAGAGTCCAAATTTACTCTGCTAGGCGCGCTATTTGGGTCACCATCGATTCAGAACGCTGATTGTTACGATTGTCCGCGCAACAAAGACGAATGGAAGCAAGAAATATATCTTTTGTTTTGAGTGACAGTATCCACTTGTTCGGCAATTTATCTGCTTTGTGGACCCTGCCTAACATCACTACACAATGTGAACATATGATAGCGCTCAGCTCTCTCGGCATCATGCCATACTCAAGTTCGACACTCGGCGGGCTCCAGACCAGTGACAGCGCTAGTTGTTCGAACCATCGGCTAACTTTGTCCGCCATCGACGGCCCTTCGTTGCTGCGTGGGCCCGTTTTACGTATAGGGTCTATACAGTTGTATGTAAACCACCCACCGACGCTTGATACTACGGGACTCTTGCCGTCAGTACATATTGCTGTGGAGCAGTAAAGGTTTCGGGCGGTCAGCCCTCAGCGTCCAACCTTCGCACCGGCCTCCTGGTTCGACGTGCACACCGAGCATAATTTCTCATATGCATGTGGCTCGATATAACGAGTCTCTATGCATGCTACATAAACCCTGACTTACAGCATCTACATACACCGATTGCCATATAATACAAAATGCAGCACAATGTCCCAAAACTCAACCAAGAAGTGCGATGTAAATAGTCCAAATCACCTTATGATGCCATTGACTATATCACGAGCGTCCAACCACGAATCATGGCCCATGGTAAGAGCAAGCTGCCCGACCAGCGTGCCTCCTGCTTTACCCTTCGTCACGAAATCACGGTTCGTGCAAATGATCATGCTTTTCTTGCATCGTGTCAGCATGACATTCGTCCTGCGCGAGTTCTTCAAGAACCCTACACCCTGGGTACGGACTAGAGAGACGATTATGTGGTCCTCCTCATTTCCTGCGAGAAGTATCAGCCATATCATTCTAGCATGTGAAGGAAACTACTTGCCTTGGAAGGAGTCCACGTTAAAGCACTTGTCTTCCCATGGAAGCTTTTCTAATTTAAGTTGATGTTCGATCGTAGACCTCTGACCATCATATGGGGTGAGGATCCTGAACTGCTTGCCCTGGGTGTTGTATATACGGGCGAGGTGGATAACCACGGATATCTCCTGTTGGTTCTAACGCAAACGTAAGGCAGGCGTATCACGAGCGTGAGGAGGAGAATCATACTATCCAGCTCTTTCCCGCTTTCTGCTCCTGGCCCCTTTTGACATCCAGGAAACGACATGCATTCTTGCTAGTGATGCCGTGCACGGTCAGCAACTTGTGACCGTATACGTGACGGGAAATGAAGCTGCCAATGACGAGTGGCATGCGGTCTGAGTGATAATATTCAAACAACGAGGGGATGAAGTCGAGATATGAGCTTACATTGAATATTCAAAAAGTGTGCCCGCTTTCGAAGGTGCGGGAACTCGAAAACACTTCGTAGCTGCCCGATGTCATCTTGACCGAATGGCGCGACTGATAATCCAAGTCAGTACAGATTAACGATAACCACCTCTGTCTCACGTTGCTTGTCGTCACCGATGAACACCATTTTTTGGAGGCTGTGCTGGAAACGCTGAAGCAGTGGCAGGTAGTCTCCCACTTCGATTTGACTTGCCTCGTCAAATATCACGGTTTGAACCGGAACTTGACGAGTAAATTCTTCAATACGGGGGTTGGACAGCATACTCAATGTGCAAAGTATGACTCTTGTGTGTTCGTTTGTGTGTTCGTTGATTAAAAGCCGGCTAACGGCCACGGGTCCGCCACCAAACAAGTCGGATCGTATAAAGCAATGTTCCAGTCTCTCGTAGAGGTGTTCATGCCTAAAACACAAAGACTCAGTTAGGACGGGGAGGTGAGGAAAGGCACAACATACCAGTCGTAATGGAAATCTTTCGATACAAGAAGCTTAAAATTACGGAAGCCAACCTTGTCAAGCTTTTCTGCGATATTCTTGACGGCAACGTTGGACTGCGCCACAAGCCAAACCGTACGCTCCACAGGGCCAGTATTGATCATACTGTTGACACTGGCCGCTATGACTGTTGTTTTCCCAGTGCCAGGAGGACCTTGAACAAGCAACAAACGATCCCTATCCGCTTGCGAAATAATTCGCTCCACTGCACAATACTGCGAGTCGTTCAATTGGCCGTTAGGATAGTAGACGAACGACGCGGTTGGAGCATTCAGGGGTGGCCATGGGATGCTTAATGACGGCGCCCAGATACTACAGAAGAATGGATGTTCGGTCAATGTGATGGTGCCTTGAAGCGCCTTTAGCACTACATCTTCTCTGACTGATTCAGCGGCCGTCAAGTCTTCTTTCCCAATAGTGGTCACTGAGAGGACCTTTCCCGAAGCATTTACAGCGCCTTGGACGTTGATATGAGCCTGTTTTCCATTTATTTGCCCTGCGCGACCAGTAATCGTTGATCGCTGATCTCCGTTCAGCGTTTCGATGTGGATGACCTGTGAGTGCGGACGCTTAAAGTTAGTGGCATGACGTCCCATAAATTAACATACTTGAGTCTTAGACCTCATGATACGCGTACTGAAGCGAGTGCATTCGAGGTTGACATTTCCCTTCTTGGAGCTGAAGTCTGCTTTGACATTGTTGACGACTTTCGTTGGCTTCAAAGACTCCAAAATTTCAGCATCACGAGAAATTTTAGCCAGGGCACTCAGATGCTACATTATGGATTAGAAAGAGAGGTCTATGACATGACGAAGATCACATACTATATCCGGCATCGTGTCTGTGTCGATTCGGGGTATGGCAGCAAATCTAAGCGTCATGTCGTCAAATGTGGCAGCGCGAATTGCTGCCCAAGCCTGGAGTGCCACATCCTTAGATGCTACGTCCCCTTCTCTGTGAGCGAACAGGGTTTTCACGTTATCCTTCTGGAGTAGGACCTCGCCACCCAAGGCGTTCATAATTGCCTGGAGGGAGCGCCGATCACTGGTAGATACTGACAGCATGTCAACTGCACCATTGATACGAAGCGAGAAGTCTCTGAAGAGAGCAAGTGCGATTCTGTCTATCCTGTACCCATAGAGTTTAATGCCAATGTTACACAAAATCTGGTCTTGTATGAGGATGCGTCCTCGGGAAACAGCAGGCTGTTGTTCCTGGCCCTTCTTCTTCTTCTTCTGCTGTTGCTGCGGATTCTGTTTATTCGAAGCAAAGAAGTGGATAACGAGCACTCTAGTGAGCGTTGCAAACGCTAAAGAGGAAAGGGAACAGTCTGGACGATATGTGGCTGCCACACCAACAGAGGCGCCTGGTGATGAGTTGATGATACGCTGCAAGGCTAGAGAAGAGATACTGTTCTCGTCGACATCTTCGACGGGTATGGGCCCATGATCGGCCTTATAGACGTTCTGTTGTAGAGTGAAGAATGTGTGGGTCATGGATGTCCTGAGAGAGAGAAAGCGCACGATGTCAACGCGCTGAAAGTGAGGGTGTAGGAACGTGATGCAAGGCCACGGCTATTTATTGTTGCATGAGCGTCTACTGTCAATGAATGGTAACCGCGTTTCACAGCAAGTCAGTGAAAGGGGGACGAGGAACCACGCGTAAGCTGTGCATGAAGAAGAATAACATAATAGATACTTTGTGTGTCCAGTATCCCAGACTCCATAGTAATTAGATCCAATTCCATTCATTGAGTGTCTTTGTGTATTCGATTTGTAGGTGCAAAGCAACATTGAGCTGAATCTGCGCAGAAGCAGTGTGAGAAGTCAATGTCGACCAGGCAATAAATTTAGCACAGCCACGCCTTCCTCTCTTCCTTTCCTCTCATGGCAACTCCTGTAATTGTCGGTGTTGGAGCTATCACGGCTGCTCTCGTTGGTCGACATCTTGTGCGCAATGGTATTATTGGAAAGCGGGCAGCAGACCAGTGGGTAAAGGGTGGTTTTAAAGCGAAAATGGATCGCAAGGAGGCTATTGCAATTCTTGGGTTAAAGTTTGCACTTTCCAGTACGCTCTATCACCCGGTATCTGACAGCAATATTTTTCGCAGAGACGGCGTAACACTACGCAACAAGTTGAAAGACGCCCACCGTCACATCATGCTCGCGAACCATCCTGACCGTGGGGGTTCGCCCTACATAGCGAGTAAAATCAACGAAGCTAAAGACCTGTTAGACAAGACAGATGGAAAGTCGAGATAACTTTTAGTTATCTTACGTTGGTTACTCATGGTACCGGTAAGTCATTGTCAAGCTCTTTAACTGGGAGAATTACTCAGATATTTGAAGTCTACCCTGTATTTCTATCCCATATATATATCCATCATAATGAATATCATCACTCACCTCTCTAAATGGTCCTGGCTCGCTATAATACCTGCGGTCCGATTGTGCTTCTAAGAGTTCTTTCACATATATATCAAGAATCACGACAGCCACCCTGTCCTGCATGCAACGGTTCACGGCCGTCTTACTAAGCAACGCCTTTCATTCTGTGACTGGTCAATTCAATTCCAAGATCACCTCCAAAAACATCATGGACACATCAGAGCTTAATCCCTCAAAGCTCGGTACAAAAGAACAGTAGGCGTGTTTAACCTATGCAAACTTGTGGGTCCCATCGCTCATCGACAATCAGTTGGGATGACGTTTACGAAGAAGAATTGGAGAACTTCAGTGAAAATGGTGACGAGGGTGAAATATGGTGTGTATTCACAGCTTCTATTGCATCTATACTTCTGGTGCCTAGGTTCGGCAAAAAGGCGATGAATGAGATGGTCAAATGGGTCAATCAACATTCTCCTCCACGCCCAGACATGTCTGTCCTAGAAGTGGGAAGTGGGAACGGTGCATTGTTGTTCGCGCTTGCGGAGGGACGTGGAGACGCATGCTATCCAGCGCATCGACTGTTGGGAATTGATTATAGTGAAGGAGCTGTCCAGCTCGCTCAATCAGTGGCGCACTCTAGGAATCTTACGGCAGTTACGTTTAGAGTGTGCGATTTCCTGCATGAGGACCCACCATTGCTCGCAGACGATCAGAAAGTTGACCAGAATGGAGCTTGGGATCTTATCCTTGATAAAGGGACATACGATGCCATCGCACTGATGGAGAAGGATGAGAATGGAAGGACCCCAGTAGAAGGTTATCCGATGCGTATCGCGAAGCTCTTAAACCCAGGCGGGCATTTCTTAATCACATGTGCGTATGCATCGTGCTCTTGGCTGTGAAACTAAAGGGCCCTTCAATCACCACAGCTTGTAACTTTACCGATCTTGAGTTACAATCGAAATTCATTACCGCAGAAACCGGCCTGCAGTACCAGTATGTGGCGTACATTTCATAACGAACCTAACTGTGCTGATATTCTCCCCAAAGTTCGCGCATAGAGCACCCAACTATTTCATTCGGCGGGAGCACTGGGAGTGCATGTTCTAGTGTGGCATTCACCAAATCTGCGTAATTAAGGATCGTTATATTCTGGGGATGTGGTCCATCCCAGTCTGTAACGTCTCTTTTGCCACTGAACTAGCCCAAGACAAGAACCCATCCTCTCCTTTGAACGTATTAGACATGAAGAACACCAATCCAAGGCCCAGGTTCTCGATCCTGGATGCCTTCAAGAAAATCTCTTCGAGTGATCCACGGTTCCTCATGGAAGGATAGTCGTCAGAGTCGTTACCGAGCATCGGTGATGAAACCTGGCTAGCGATAAACAGCTGTATGAACAACTCTTTCAAGAAAGTGCGTGTCTGTGGCTTGAGTATCGTGAAGTCCACAGGCTGTAAAATACTCGTTTCAGTAACTCCTTGCCTCAACTGTGCCCAGGCTCACCTTGAAGATCGTCAGCGTACAACTATCTTTGGCAATCCACCATGCATATGCTTTGGCGACGTTCCTCATTCGCGAAGGCGACATGGATTTAACATTGAACCCTACATCATTATCTTTCAGGCTCTTGATTACCTCTACCCCACCGACACTACTTTCGCCCAAGTCTCGAATAAAGTCCCATAGACAGAATTGCAACGTGATCTTGTACGAATGCGAACGCTGAGACAGGTGCTGACAGACAAGTGTGTAATATGGGTTATAAGATTTTTCCTGTGAAATTGGTTCAGATGACGATGCAAAAACCTATGGAGTGACGTACATTTCCACAACAATGCAGGTTCACTCTAATGATCTCGCGTTGTTGCACTTCCGTGAGGCCGAGTTGCGCAAGTCGTTCACAAGCGTCCAGATAATCCTGCAAACAGGAAATGAGATTTGATAGCAGGATTGCGACATCAATACCTACATCACTGCTCATGAGCACCACAAATATACTTCGGCGGATATCTGTATTCATGCCCTGCTTCCTCGCAAGCTTCAGAAGTGCGGTAGTGCTGACATCGCCTGTCTCTGGTTCCCCACCATGCTGGGGAACTTCGCGCGACTGATCGGCCAGAGGATCTCCGGCCCAAGCAGCGCCAATGAGCCACCACTTTCCTTTGCTTTCCGCCGAATGAAGATCCTCCAATGTTACGCGTAACGGCTCGTGAGCGAGAACTGCAACTGCCTCAGTGCCATCCTGAGTCACTCAACGGAGGAACGACTTACCGTGTTTCTTTTTTCCCAAGCCTGAGAGGAACTTCTTCATCCGCTCAACCGCATCGCCCCCCTGATGCTGTGTTGCAGCCGTCTTCTTGATTTTATTGTTCTTCAGGTTATTTAAGGTCTCGATCATGAACCGCGTGCGTGAACTGTTCTCGCAATGAGATGACTGTAATAAAGATAATGAGATGCGATAGTACCTTATAGTATCAGCTTGTCCGGTAACCCGAGACTGTGCTAAAGTTATGATGTCCTTCAATGCCATAGGATCATCTTGTCGTAGCTGTTGGCCGGAACCTAACACACGGTTAAGATATGACGAAAATAGATATTATCAACTTACTGCGAAGAAGTTTCAGCAAAAGTTCTACCCGGAACTCTGATAGGTCTTTATCCAAAAGGCCGCGAATGATATCATAAACGAGAATGCACGAAATGACTTGAAAATTGTACAGCTCTGACAAAAGCACGATGAGGTTGGAGCACTCTTTTCCTAGGTCTTCAGGGATTTCCGTTGACTTGGTTGACCTTTCCTCCACCGAAGCGAGGTGTTGTTCATACGAGGACACTACGTTCTGAACAAAATACGCCGCTGAGTGAACGTGCATCGGTTAAGATGGTGGAAGGTCATTTCGCAAGACACTCACCAAACGCAGTGCCGATCAATTTATGTAGGCTAGATATAAATGCAGCGTGGAGAACCACGTACGAGTCCAGGAGAGTAGAATGAGATGATATGCCATCAATGATGAGGTTAGTGAGGGTTGATGTGACGTCTGAGGGAGAAAATATGTGCCACATTCAGTGCAGATAAAATAAGCACGAACCATGCCGGCGGTGGTTGCGATATACGTCTTCAATGCTATCTAGGATGGTTGCGATATTTTGTTCAGACATTCTAAGGCAAGATGCAATTAGCAACGACCACGACAATACAATAAGATGTTACCTGTTTATCAGACCTTTCAGCTGGCGAGTGAGTTTGAGTTGTTCCTCTGTTTCGCTGTTAGATTGTTTTCTTAATCCCGGCGGGATATAGCGTCCTGTGTAGCAAGATGGAATCCAACCCAAAAATTATACATGTAGGAAAACTGACCGGTAACTTTAGGTTGAGAGTCGGAAGGCTCGCCTTCTTCCGTTTCTGTCACCTCATGATCATCATCGTCCACCGAATCATCATTTTCCCCAGCCTTACTCCCATCGTTCTTGCTGAGCTCGTCAAGGCCACCCCACGCCTCATCTTCCCAAGATTCGTCACTTTGGTCTTTCGCAGATGTTGATTGATCCTCATCCTCCATTTCGTCATCCAAATCTGAGTCCTGCGTGGACTGAAAACACGACACAACACGTAGTTGTAAAGCAGACTTACTGGTATCTCGGTCATGATATTTTCTGTAAAGTCAAACAAATCTGTAGGAAAACTGTGAGATGGATTCTCCGGAAAAAGATGTAATGAAACATACCTCCTAGTCCATCCATGTCATCATCCTTACGACGTGAACCACCTCCAGCATACCCCAGCTTTGATTCAAGATACGCGATATACGCATCTTCTTCCTCTTCTTCGCGACTTCGAGGGTGTGTAGATGCAACTTTACGGGGTTTAGCAGCCGATTTATTTACGAGTTTCTCTAACGCAGTGGTTTGGAGTTTCTGCTTTGGCACAGATTCGGTGGTGGTGTGCGGTTCCGCAGGTCTATGACGCGGTAGTACCTTGGTGGCAGCCGCATTATGAGACTTTGAGGAAGGTGGTCGAGAATCTGATTCTTGTGACGTCTTCATGCGTTTTCTCTGCGGTGAATTGACGTGTTCGTCTTCCGTCTTCCGTTTGGCTGAGTGAGCGGTATGTATGAAGTGATCCGCTTTTCTCTTTTTACGATCCGCTCGCTCTTGTTTTCGCGCATCCTTGCGTGATGCATGGGAACGACCACTTTTGTGTCGATGAGAGTTCTGTTCTGCATACATAATCACGATAGCTCAGAGACGAATTCTGTATGAGCTCACCTGAGTCGTTGATCTGCTCTAGTAAAGACTTAGGCAGGCTGATGCCGTGCCGTCTCTGATTACCCCCTGGCCCCATTAGATTTGAAGTAATTTTTGAGGTATCATACTGAATAGGAAGGTGATGAGTAGCACCTTAGGCTTTAGGATCAAATACGGATAAACAATATCCAAGTGATCTACTAATACTAAATACCATAGTAACGTCCATGAAAGTAAGTACATATAAGTACAAAGAAACGTATACAAGAGCAGTGAATGGTATGGATGAATGGATGGATAGATGAGATTATGTAAAGTACATAGATGCAGCAGAAATTGTTAACAAGAAAAGAGACATCATCGTGGGTCAATAACTTCTACAACGGATTCAAGAACCACCTTGGGTCGCAACAGTATACGCCGATCTATGCTTTCTTCCGAAGCTAGCGCGTCGCTCGGGGCTTTTCTCGTCGAGCAACGTAGGCCCAGTTCCGTCGTGCACAGAACAACGCCATCCGACGATCCATAGTCTTCAAATGCATCCATCATCTCCTGCCCGTCAAAAAGCTGGCCGCTATCCGCAGCGATAACCTCGAAGTTCGCCGACATAATCTCTTCCTTCGTCACTTGCGCTAGCCTGCAAGCGGCCTTCGAGATCCGTTTGACTTGGGCCCCGAAGCATGCACGAAAGTTCTCGCGGGAAGCCGGATTGGGCTGCGGATTGGTGCTACCAGAAATGAGGAAAATGTCTAGCGACCAACGGAAGATCGTTTCCGTCATCTCATTGATTGCGTAATCATTAAGTTCGGCGTGGAGCTCATGGATGTGTTTATGAGTCAATGCTCTCCATCGCGACGAGGTTGGCTGAGGTTCTAAGGTGATATGAGAAAATTGCAGGCAACAAAATGTTTTAGGAACCCACCTGAGTGAAACATGTGTGTATAGATCTGGGTCAGGATGATGTTGGCCTTGGACTGGTAACCAATGCAGAACGATGATAGTGCTCTAGATATGCAGTACGAGATGCAACCCTGAAGAGCTAGCTGAACCAGCATAGGATCTTGGGAGTGATCCCGAGTTGCCAATAAGCGACTCAGGGCAACACCCAACCTCGTGGCAACTTCAGAGGAAGCTTGCGTAACCTTTGCTGAATTAGGGCGCTGCTTCAAGAACGTGCAAAGTTCTGTGGCAGATGCTGCAAACTGGAGAATTTCAGAGTTGAGATCTTGCACAGCTTGTATGACCTGCGCTCCAGACCACAAATCGATCTTGTTCAGGAAGGTCTCTAAGCTGCGAGACTGGGCTCGCTCTTCCTCGGACACAGTAGACATGTTGTCTGGGTAAAGCTCACTACCATTGCGGCGATGATTGCCGTTGGCATGCGATAAGGTATCGTCACGGATCTCTGACCAGTCAGCGCTCAGTCGGACATGCCCAGACTGGGATGAGTCTGATCGCTGATGTGCAGGATCACGGCTTCGTCGACGATCGAAGTGGGTGGAACGGAGATGACGCTCTGGAGAGTGCTTTTCGCGCTCCTTAAGCACCTGAATCTCCTGGTCTCTGACCTTCAAAAGGTCTCTCGTTTCTTTGAGGGTTTTCTCGAGGGTTTTATACTTTTCCTCCCAGCGAGCGACTTCCGCTTGTGTTTTGGATAGTTCGTTTTTTATAGCATCGTGTTCGCGGCGCATTGAATCAAGAGTAGAGGCTGCAGCAGTGGCGCCAACCGAAGGATTACAAAATGACGAATTGTGAGAGTCAGTTCGTTCGGCAGCATCCAACCTGTCACGTAATGAAGTAGACTCCTCGTTCCTCGGCGTCGGGTCTGTCGGCGTCAACGGAAAAGATAAGTCAGAGACGGAGTCTTCAGCGCTGGCAGCACTGAAAGAAAAGGAAGGACCAAGCGAGGCAAAGAATTCGAAGGTTGATTGGTAGAGGTCTTTGAGATTCAAGTTAGCGATAGGGAGCATGGCGGCTGAACGTCGGAAAACCAAACACCGTTTCAGCGTGTTGCTTTAGCCCTAATCACTGGCTCAGTATATATGATCTATGTGTTAGCAAAATTTTATGGGAAATCATATGAGGTTAGATATAATCACTGACAAGTGCCAGGCTCAGCTACAGGTGCCAGCTGGTTCCAACCAAATCCCTGACAAGGATTCCCTCCTCGGGCAATCTCTGGGCGGCCTGTACAAGCAAGGTTCCCAAGCCCTATTTCCAGCGTAGCACGAGGTTCTTCTTAAGCCTCGAGGCAGTTGCGTTTTTGTTCGTGGAAAGCCAATGGCAGAAGAATGTACGTGATCATCCTCGTGGCAAACTCCAATTATCTTCTTGCTGATTCAACGCTGATTCACTTCATTTGATTCTCATTCTAGCCCTTGTCAGTGCAGCATGCACTGCTGACACGCTGCGATCATTTCATTGTAGCCTCGTGTGGACTGCCTTTATTCGAGTCACCCGCCCCGACTTAGCACACAGTACATATATGGCCTCATAAGCTCATATCTATCAACAATCCGACTTTCTCAACATTATCTGCACCTGGCATGAAGCCAACTTCTGACACGCGAAAGCCCTATGGCGGCTCCTCGCGTGCACTAATCATCGCTCTCGACGTCGGAACCACTTTCAGTGGTGTATCGTATGCCCTACTTGAACCAGGCGAGATCCCAAAAATCCACGGTGTCACTCGGTGAGCATCTTGTTCCAATGACGCGTACCCTCTGACAGGAAACACGTCCGCCCTTTCTCTGGTCAGTTTCCCTGGTCAAGAACATGTAGCTGGCAATTCCAAGATTCCATCCGTCATGTATTATGATAAGCATGGCAGAGTCATGGCTGCTGGCGCTGAGGCAGATAACGCGTCCATAATAAGCCAAGCTGAGGATGAGGAATGGATCAAAACGGAACTGTATGTGTCCAATCTTTCCTGTGCAATCAGATTTGACACTGCTGCTTCCCAGCTTCAAGCTTCGCCTCCGGCCGAAGAGTATGAAATTGAAAATGAATGGGATGCGTCTGAGTCCGTTGCCACGGCACAAAACTTCCGTTGATGTTTTTGGAGACTTCCTTGCCTATCTCTTTCGCTGCACGAAGAGTTTTATCATAGACACACATGCTAACGGCCAGACCCTGTGGCACCATGTCGAATCCAGCATCGAGTTCGTGCTGAGTCACCCCAACGGCTGGGAAGGTGCTCAGCAGACGAAGATGCGACGTGCTGCGGTGTATGGGGGTTTGATTCCTGATACGGATGAAGGTCGAGCTCGAATCCGTTTCGTCACGGAAGGAGAAGCTAGTCTCCACGCGTGTGTCCAAAGCGGTCTTGCTGCTGATGTCCTTTCTGTGTGTATTCCGAACATATTTCACACATACGGGCTTCTCGTCTGACGTGTCATCTAGAATCCGTCTAGGCACGGGTTCCTTGTCGCTGATGCAGGCGGCGGCACGCTTGATATCAGTTTCCTACGCAGTCCGAGGGACCAATCCCCTGGTAATCGAAGAGGTGGCTCCTCCCGATTGTGAGAATACGCTGACGCGTCCTCTTGTCTATTTTTACATCTGATCATTTACTTCCGAAGGTATATTTGCCGGATCTGTCTTTGTCAGCCGAAGGGCAAGGGAGTTCCTAGAAGGTAAACTATTCTTGGTTGCATCATACGCAAGGCATCATCATCTCATCTTGCGTGCAGAGAAGCTCAAAGGTTCTAAGTACGGCACCTCCGATGCGATTGACCACATCACAAAACGCTTCGACGAGACCACTAAACGGTTATTCCGAGACAAAAAGGATTTACAATTCGTTCCATTCGGCTCTCCACTCGACAAAGATCTCGCAGTCGGCATCCGCGGAGGCCAGTTGAAACTCGATGGGTAAGTAGGCGAATAAACATCCATTATGCTTCCAAAAATAATGCTTGATAGTGCGCAGGTAGCAGAGTTCTTCGAGCCTTCTGTCCAGGCGGCGATCACGTCGATCAAAGCACAGGTTGACGCATCCCAAGGGATGATCAAAGTGTGTTACTCTTCACCATTCAACATGAGGCCTTAATATTAATGATCGCCTTTTCATAGTCCGTCTGGTTGGTGGGAGGATTTGCGGCCAGCCCGTGGCTCTTTAGCCAATTACAGGAACGCCTTGCACCACTGAAGATTACTGTGAGCAGGCCTGACAGTCAGACGTGAGAGGCTATACGATCATTCCAGTATTTCATCTCTCTAATATTGACGATTTAGTTCAAAAGCTGTGGCCGATGGTGCACTTGGGTTCTACTGCGATCACCATGTTTCGGCCCGGATGTCGAAATTCATGTATGGGGTGGAGTACCTGCGTGAGTACGATCCCAACGATGCGGAGCACCAGTCTCGGAAAGATCGACTTTGCGAGCTTCCTTCTGGTCCTCGGCTTCTGCCCGATGCATTTGACTGTATCCTTGCTCGAGTATGTATCTAGTGATTTCACTGGAACGTGTGCTGACTTGATGAATGTGCACATTTGCAGTGTGTGAAGGTTAAGGAATCCACGGTGTTCTCGCGGAAGTATTGCACGGAACTTACCAATCTGTCTACTCTTTCTGTATTCGAGGTGGAGATATGGTGCTATAGAGGTGGTGACACGATTCCGCAGTGGATCTTACGCCACGCAGGTGGGTATCTCTGAACATGAGTTTGAATGCCGTGCTGATCCGTGGCCTTCCATTCTTCCATTGGCAGAGGACTATTCGACATTGTGTGTAGTCCGTGCTGACCTGTCGCTTCTCAGCGGAAGTGCAGAGCCTAAACTAGGCAAGAACGGCAAGACATACTGGACGATCGTGTTCAGTGTTGAGATTCACTTTGGTCTCACCGAGTTCAAAGCGCGGATAAAGTGGAATGACAACGTGAGTGATTTCCCTGTATTTGTCTTACGTGTGCTAAGTCGATTGTAAAAATATTAGGGGACGATCAAGTAGTATGTGAAAATCTGCATGGAGCCAGTGGCGTATCTAACTTTGTCTATAGTGGACCTGCGTCTATTGTGTATAGTGAGAGCGGCCACCGTGCTGATGAGGACGAACCAGACATCTCAGAGGATGACTACGCCCCGTCGCGTTCTGGATCCGTTGCCCCGTCACGCTCTCATTCCGTTGCTCCATCGCGCTCTCATTCTGTCGCTGCCTCTCGCGAGCCACTGGCTTCAGGTACCAGGACTCCCCTGGGAGCCTCGCGAGTGGAGGCCACATTCATAGAAGTTCAAGAGCGTAGCCGGACGAGTGTAGTCTCAACCCAGACATCCGCTTCCAAGGTGTCCACCTCCTCGCCTCCGACCCCAACGGCCACGGAGCGTGGGGTGAGGAGCAGTACAGCGCGTCAATATCTCAACTCAAGGCTGAACAAAGCACCCGGAGGTCGAGCGACAACGGACTGTATCTACCGCCTCCAAGGTCTCTACAGTAGTTGGGAGCACCGTTGAGCGAGACCGCAGGATCTCGACGGCTTCTAAAGTTCTGCCTCGACTGTTTCTCAGCAGCTCCATACAGCTTCTTCTCAACAAACGCTTGTAACCACTTCCCAGCCTCCCCCTCCAGCTGCTGTCCAGCCTGCGCCTGCAGCCTCTGTCGAAACTCGCGGACGTGTGACTGAACCTCCTGCAAAGGACAAAGGCAAAGGGAAAAACAAGACCCCCAAGACCACAGTACCTCCTTCCCCGATTGATCCAGCTGATACCACCGTGGGCAAGAGTCCAGGCCAGCTAGCAGAAAACCCTTACAGCTGTCTGGGGCTCTGCTTCCAAGGGGAATACGCCTGGAGCCTCGCCGCTGACTCAAACCTCCAAATCTCTCGAGCCAACAACGCCGAAGACCGAAGCTCCCCCTCCGCTGTCTCACAAAGCAACGCCAAAGACTGCAGAGGTCAAGCTTTCAGAGCCATCTACACCTGCACTCGGAGAAGCCCAACACTCGCTATCTGCCACTGTCGTCTCTGAGGTGGTTCAGGAGACAACGAGAGAGCTGTCGGTTGAGATTACGCAAGAGACAAGGATGGAAGGTCCGCCGTCGTCCACCACACCAGCAGATACAGTTCCTACTGAGCTTATCTCCACGGAAGCTCCCCTCGCCGTGATTGCGGAAGTTTCAGAAGTGGTGGTTGCCGAGCAGCATACGGAGACAACTATCACAGAGACGCAATCCAATGTTTTGGGTATTGACATTTTCTGTGCCCGCACTCGAGCTCAATCTCACGCCGGACGTACCAGCGGATGACACCAATGGCGATGGTGGTTGGAGTCATGTTGATGCCTATAGTCAGCGCCTCTGCTGAACAGGAAGAGCCTGTTAGTTCCCCTGCTTGGGGTGGGAGCAGTAGCATCGGATGGGGTTCGACTACAAAGCCCACTACTGGATTGGGGGTGAGAACAAGTTGGTCCATGCCAGCTGCATCCGCTTTTGGAGGCATCGGCTCTACTCTCGCAGGATTTGGTAATATCCTCAACGCTGATGGCAGGAAGAGTTCCAAGTCTTCACCAAGACCTGGTTCATCCTTGCTTCCGACCCGAACACACTTCTTCTCTTGGAAGCCTCGGCTCTCTTGCAGGATCAATCAGTAATCTCCTCATCGGTGATGACAAGAAGAGTTCCGCCTCACCGAAGCCTGACGCATCCCCGCTTCCACTCCCTCGCCCTCTTCCATTGTAGGGACACAACACCGGGTGATACGCCTGCCGCTCCCGTACAAACGACAGAAGAGGCCCCTGCGCCAGTTGAGGCGCCGGCCAATGTGGTGGATGCTGTGGTACCAACGACAGACGAAACAGCAGCACCCCCTACTGATGCAGTAGCAACTGAAGAGAAAGCGGGGAGAAGAAAACCCACCTGTAGAAACCACTGCTGCTCCTGAGCCGGCCGGTTCCGACAGGGGATGGAGAGGGTAATGATCCCGAGGAGGAGAAAGAGGTTGACGACAAGAAATCGAAGATAAGTGCCCCGGCCATCAAAGCAACTAACAGCAAGGGAGCGAAGAAAAAGAAAAAGAAGTAAAGTACAGGGACTCTTACGCACATCCCCCCACTTCGCGGTACTGCTGATCATTTACTTTACGTCTGGCGAACTTGTGATACTGCTATCCTTGTAACTAATGATTTTGATACCTGTAGCTTTGAGTCAATGACTGCTTCCTCAGTTCTAGCCTTGCAGATCAAATAGAAGGGCAACATGATACGCAATATTCATCCACTCGTCGTGTATTCCAGTAAGTAGTGGTATGGAAAGCGTACTGCGAGGCTCCTCGAGCACCGGGAGAGTAGCTATGCACGGTATCACTCAACAAGCATGCTCGTGAATATGATTGATAGATCGTATCCAAATGATACAGTGGTGTATGCAGCAACATCGAACCGACAATTGTATTCAAGCGCAGCGCTGTCAGGCATGGACAGATCCAAGATTCTCGACAGCTAGAGCCTGGGTGTCTTAACAGCACATCAGATGCATGATCAATGTAACCCACCAAGTATTGACCCGTCTTCGTCTAGTTGTACAGTCTGCATATCGGGCGCCATGCAGGGATATAAATATATGGCGCCCCATGCCCAAGCTTTTACCGGTATCAGCCTATCGACACTCACCATTGATACACATACGGTGAATCAGGATTCCCCGTGTTCTGTATCAGCCGTGACATCCCTATTGGCGAGCAATACATTGAGAAGCGAAGGCGGCCGTGCATCGAAGAGCTCGCAAGTGAAAAAAGTAACACAAGGATAAGGCGATCGATCCAAAAAGATGTCAGATAAGCTCTTCTTAAAGCTTGGAGGCCAATATTAATGAGACATTGCTTCTCGAGGTCTTCGTCCGGCCCATCCAAGATCTCCTATAGCTTCTTGTGCGATTTCGAGGCCCTAATTTCCTACGAATAGATATTAAATGGTAAGCAACAGTAACATGTGTTTTGGCAGCAGCAACTGGAGTCACTTTGCCCTTTGTCTTCTTCATCAGAACTTTAAGTTGGAGTCTCTACCGGCGTCCATCTGGCCGATCGGATATCCATAATCGAATGACTCGGACAGGTGCTCGAAGGGCCAGGTATAGATTTCTACTCTGCAAGAAGTTGCTGAGCTTGTGGATTGAATCGGGATTATCACCGGAGACCACTGAGAGTGGAGGAACAAACGCAAAGTCGATTTCGAGCTGCTTGGCAACCTCTGTATCAATGCCTGGAAGTTCGTTCGTACTATGCATGTGAGCGTGGCGGCGTTGCGCAATATTTATTCTCAAGGCGACCATCTCAAATGTGCCGACGGCTAGAGATCGCAGCGAGGTTGGGCCGTATTATAGCTCGCTATTTTCACGTTTTGGCGGTAGAAGTTTCACGATTTCGGTTTTCGCTTTAGATGGCAATTGTTGCCTTGGATAGTCGCAGGCTGTGTTGATCGATCGGACTACATTTTTTTTTAGGTCTCTCACGATTACCGCATCGATGTCGAGCATACACCCTCTTGTGCTCTTACCATCATGATTTCGTTCATCGGCCGTTTGCCTGTTTCCGTCATTTTCGATGCTGATTCGAGTTGTTGTCTTGTATCTACTTCAGTCGCTCATGATCTTGGTCATTCAGCACCAGGTTCTCGGTTCTTTGAGATTCTCACGGCTTCCTATGATGGCCATGCGCTTACGACCGACGTTGAGTTCAAGGTTGCGCGCGATCTTGATTGTGATGTTTTGATTGGGATGAATTGGATTGCTGCGTGGCGCGCTGTTGGTCGGGAAGACGAGTCTTCTGTGCACCATCCTTATTCTTGTGCCATGTCTGGATCGCAAGGTGATAGTACTTAATTCTTAAGTTTTTCGGTATTCCTGATGTTTTGTATTTCTAGCGACTTCGTGTATACTTGGTGGCAGTGCCAGCCGTTTGCCAGAATCTCCTGTCAGTGGCAACGTCGATTTATCCCAGTCTTCGTCCCTAGCAGGGGCAGTTTCATCGTCTTGTAGACGTTCAAAATCTATTGTGCATGACATCTTGTTTAAATCGTGTCGTTCGGGGGTCCGTCTGGGTCCTTGGTCGTCTGAAATTGCGTTGCTCGATCGGGTGTGTGCTTTGCACGGTTTAGAACTGAAGGGGCCTTATTCTTTGCTTGAGCTGCGAAAATCGTTGCTGCGACATTTACTTCATGGTGACTGCGTCGCTTCGGATACACGTTCCAAGCATCGTGATTACACTGCATGTCGTGAGATTGCTTCAGGTTTTGCTTCTCCTTCGGATCTAGTCGAGTTTACATTGGATGAGTTGACCTCTGGTTCATTGCGCAGAGTATTTGTAGCGGTTTGGAGTGCATTGGTGATCAAGAAGCACATCTCAGGCATAAAGCTATCAGTATTCTGAATATTTTTCGTAGCCGAGGTGTATATGAAAGTGTGTCGAAATCATTTCAGTCCGAGTCATTGTTTTCTAAGGCGGAGCATATGTCTAAGTCTTCTTTGGAAGCTATAGCGTCCTGGCACGGTTTAGGTACGAAGGATCAGTTGTTGGACAGAGGATCGTCGACCACGTATCGAGGGGTAAATGCACTTACACGGCCGATTCTCTGATGCAGCATGCTCGCATATCAACGATGAGTTGTGCTTTGAGAATGTTGAGGATAACGATATCAGGACCAATAGTTCTACAGATACTTCGCATGACACGAGCCAAGATGTCGCGAATTTGCAAATTTCTGTTCTGAGTTCGTTGCGCAAAACCATCGCGCGTAAACCTTTGATCCGCTTATTGCGATGCCATTAAAGGACAATGCAAAGGATGCGACCAACGATTTTTATTCGGAGCCGACATTACGGAGGGGAACTGTTCCAGCACGTGAATGCCAAGCTTCGCCAGCTTGACATACGGATTGTGGAAAACGACCTTATCCCGCCTCAGGATTGGTATTCGAGCCTTAGGCGCGGGACTTTGGTCATGATCAGAGCTACGTTGCACGCACTCAATTGGAAAGAACGACGAGTAAGTCCAAATAACTCAAGAGTACAATGACTTACAAGGGTTCTGAAGGTCTATCAACTGAACGCACACACTATCCGCATTTTGGATGAATCAAAGCTTGAGATCGAACCGTTTGGCACCCAATCTAGCATGCACCCAGCATTCAAAGCTATGTCCCCAACGTTTTTCGAAATGGCTGGATTCAAGGCATAAAATCACAAATATCCTTCAATTAAGTGAGTCTTGGCTCCCACCGCGAGTCATCTGAATAACTTAATTCCTACCAAAGCAGTTTTGTACGGTCCATGCGCATGATCGTGCACTCCATCACTTACTTCACGACAGTTGACGCTATATAATCTTAATACCATCGAAAGATATCGGGGATTTTGCATGAACAAAATGAGCCAGCCTGAAGACATCACTCATCACAGTAGCCTGAGGGACTAGGGCAGGAAGAATCGAAGGAGGGCCCAGTCAAACGGAACTGAATGGCCATCGCGACTCTTGAACCTACAAAAAGCTTTGTTCATTCTCCTGGCGAGCCACTATCCAACTTGGCAAGGATTGTTGGGCCGGATCTTTTCGGAGTCCAGTAAGACGCACACCAGCCCTTCGAATCTAAGCGTATGTTGGTCGGTAAGTCTTATTTGATACCCGAAAAGATATGCGCCAATTTACAAAGTATGATGGGCAGTCAGACTCATCCACAGACATGTACCAAATCTGTCCCAAGCTATCTATGACTACACAAGCTTCCACGGTGCGTTACATTAGTCTTTCCCTCAGTCCAACAAGCATGGTTGACATCCGATTTCAGCCGACACGCGCGGCACCTACTGGTCCGTCGCCCCTCAGTCATACATGAAACTACCATCTTCTGGGGGAAACTCCAAACGTGCGGACCCTGTCGAGCACCACGGTATGTAAACTATTCCAGAGGGTGTCTCGCATCCCTACGTTCACTTGTTTGTTCTCAAACTTCCGATCATTCGTATGGAAGACCTCGGAAGATTGGGCTCACCTCCATCTACAGAAGTTTCCGATATCACTGCTTTTTAATCTCAATTATATAGGTAGGGAGGAGGGAAATTCTGTAGTTGCCATTGTATTCTGATTGTTCATTGTAGTTCATGTCTTTGCCAACGCTCTTATTCGACATCAGTTGTTGTGTAATCCTTGTGCTTTATTGTATGGACGAGTAAACAGTTCGATTTTCAACTTGCTGGAATTGATTGCCTATTGCAGGGAAATAGACACCGTGTGTAACTGTCATGTCATGAGTCATACGAGCCCTCGCTTCGTGTTTGTTCGCTTTTATCTCTCGCCGCGATCTCGCTCTATACCACAGGACAGCTTTCATCATAAACCAGATCACCTCTACTTCAGGACGCACACTAAGATCTCCCAATGGCAACCATCGACGCTCAGGTCCTCAGGGAAATGATTAAACAATTTCGAGTTCTTATTATAGGAAGAGCAAACGCAGGCAAAACGACCATTCTTCACAAGGTCTGCAATACCACGGATAAGCCAGAAATTTACGATACCAAAGGACACAAGGTACGATCGATGATCCATATGTGTGTTACACGGCTTTATTGCTGATCAACTGTGGATAGATCAATGCGGCCGTCGTGGAATCATCGATCAAGGTGCTTGCACAATTTTCCCTGCAGGCATACGTACTCTGACAGACGATCAGCGTGGAAATCATGACATCAGAAACGAAATGGTGTTCAAAAGCAATCCCGGTTTAGTCTTCCATGACTCATGCGGTTTCGAAGCGGGTTCTGAAGAGGAATTCGAGGATATGAAGAGTTTCATCTCAGAGCGGGCAAATGCGACGAGATTGGAGGACCGCCTCCATGCGATTTGGTAAGTGAATTCCTCCTGACGTTCAGCGCTTGTTGATTTCCATCAGGTACTGTATTCCGATGGACGACCATTGGCGAACATTTCAACGATCAGAGGAGAAGTTCTTCTCAGAGTGCGACACTGGGCACAGCGAGTTTTCAGGTCTATTTTCCTATGCTTTGCTCGGACTAAATGATCCGTCTTCAGTTCCTGTGATTGTGGTATTCACCAAGTTTGAAGCTTTACGTCCAATCGCGTTCGGAGAACTCAAGAAGCAACTGAAAGGGGCATCAGGAGAAGAGCGCTCAAGAATGATTGCTCAGCGGGTCGAAGAACTGTTTACTAACACAGGTGTCTTGGATCGGTTGTGCGCTCCTGACAACCGTGCACGTCCTAAGTCCCATGTACGCTTGGCGAGTAAGTTGTTCAAATTGACTCATGCCACATCAAAGTTGATATTAGTCACCATCCTAGATATGGATAAACCGGATACGAACTGCAATCTTCTACTGGAACACACCACTCTAGCATTAGACAACAAAGAATTGCAGTTGTGCCTGATTTCAACACAACAGTCAAACCTGGAGCTTTGCATCAAGTGTGCTGTCAGGTGAGTCGCACAGTTGCAAGTCACATATTTTTGTTTCAACGTAATCTAGAACAATCGTTCATCGTCTATTACTACCCGGGCCAACCAATTTTGAAGTCGATCAGTATGAAATTACTAAGTGGTTTCCACATCTGAAAGTAAGACGAAGATTGATTCATTCCGACGATGCCCTTGTAATAGCGCTCATGAATGGTAAATATTGAAGTGCTGAAACTGTAGACAATCTGACAAATTTTCCTCGATTGTAGTTATCCATCATTAACAGCTGGTAAGATTGCGTTTTAAGAAGGTCAAACAGCATGAACAACACTGATGACTTGCACCTCTTCACCTATTGACAGTCGGTAAGTGCATTGATGGTTTCGAGTCCTCGACCGATGCTCATGACCCCCATCCCTTGCTGCTGTCGCCTGTTGACAGGGTGTAAGTGCCTTAATGGTTTCGAGTACTGGACCGATGCTCATGATCCCCATCCCTTACTGCTGCTCGCCTGTTGGCAGTGGGTAAGTGCCTTGATGGTTTCGGGTCCTCAACCGATGCTCATGACCCCCATCCCTTACTGCTGCTCGCCTGTTGACAGTTCGTAAGTGGCTTGATGGTTTCGAGTCCTCGACCGATGCTCATGATCCCCATCCCTTGCTGCTGCTCGCCTGTTGACAGTACGTAAGTGGCTTGATGGTTTCGAGTACTGGACCGATGCTCATGATCCCCATCCCTTGCTGCTGCTCGCCTGTTGACAGTCGGTAAGTGCATTGATGGTTTCGAGTACTGGACCGATGCTCATGATCCCCATCCCTTGCTGCTGCTCGCCTGTTGACAGTGGGTAAGTGCACTGATGGTTTCGAGTCCTCGACCAATGCTCATGATCCTCATCCCTTGCTGCTGCTCGCTTGTTGACAGAATGTAAGTAGCTTGATGGTTTCGAGTCCTCGACTGATGCTCATGATCCCCATCCCTTGCTGCTGCTCGCCTGTTGACAGGCAGTAAGTGGCTTGATGGTTTCGAGTCCTCGACCGATGCTCATGATCCCCATTCCTTGCTTCTGCTCGCCTGTTGACAGTCGGTAAGTGGCTTGATGGTTTCGAGTCCTCGACCGATGCTCATGATCCCCATCCCTTGCTGCTGCTCGCCTGTTGGCAGAGAGTAAGTGGCTTGATGGTTTCGAGTCCTCGACCGATGCTCATGATCCCCATTCCTTGCTTCTGCTCGCCTGTTGACAGAATGTAAGTGCCTTGATACTTTCCAATCCTCGACCGATGCTGACAATCGCTGCTGCTCACCCGTTGACAGCACGTGAGTCACTTGATTGTTTTCTGCTTGTAATCCATATGCAGAAGTCTTACATCTTCCTATTGGTTGTTTGGCAGGTGGTATGTGCCTTGATCGTATCTTGTATTGACATAATACTGAATAGTTTAACTCGTGTTCATAGTCTCATGTGAGCATCTTCTATTCTATCATACAAGTCGAATCACGATTGCTCATATGATGCATAGTTCGTTGAGTGCCCCTCACTGATGGCTTATTTTCCATATTCACATATCTTGCATATTCTCTTGCCCCGCGCAGAATGTGAGTCGTTTTACCCTCATACTGTGAAGCATTAAATGTATTGATCATTTTGACTGGTTCTTTCACTCTGTAGGACGTAAGTATATTTCAATCACTCGAGGACTCTAACCACATAGTCTCTTGTATCCATGATATGTTCGCAGAATGTGTGTAAATCATGTCCCGTCTGGATCCTATATTACTCCACTGACAAATAATCTTATGGAATCAGCTTGTACGTCCATGAATGGTACATCTTCGCCGTTATGTAGTGGCACTCAACTGGTTCCAACTCTTGACAGTTTGTAAGTCACTTATCATTGTCTACAATCCGGTGGTTGGTTGTTTACAACTGTCACGGTTCGCCAAATAGAATGTGCGTCTCTGTTATTAACCATACATCAATGTGTCACCTCATGATTCTGACCCTTTCCCGCAGAATGCAAGTACTTTTCTCTTTGGGGTTGATTCTGATACCCACACCATGAACTTGTTGTCAGGTGAAAACCGCGATAGAGGACACTATGCGCATCCTTCAGCCTGTGGTAGGTTAGTTTTGCTCCGCATTAATACTCAGCGCTGAAAGACTGCAACAGGCTCTGGAGGAATCATTGTTTACTGCTCGTTCAAACAGCATCATTCATACTGGCATTGGTCAGTTTCCCAGCGCATGATCAGCTGTAGTTCTTATGACAGGAAACAGCTACTATCATCGTCCTCGAGTACTCTGCCTTTCTGCTGAATAATGACTCCAAGAAGCTGGAGAGCGTTAAGTCTGCCGTGCACCATTACATGAAATCTCCGACGGCCGTCGCTGTGGAGAAAGGAGCGAAAGAGATTTCTCGCTCAGGTTACGAGAAGACCAAGGAACTAGAGATAAAGATTCTTGACTTCATCCTTGAAAATCGCATGTGTACGTCCCTCGCTTCGTTGTGAACTCGAAGTTAAACAACTGCCCGCAGCAAAGGACTCGGCAGCAAAGAAGTAGATGATTCTCGAGCCAAGTTTCCCGCTTCTTTCTGCATTTTCCTCATACTATGCGCTCCCATTGTGTACGCCAGCTTTAACTCCAGAGCGGCGCGGACTGTGACGTTTCCTTGTTTCCAATGCTCTTCCTCATGTTATGTACTATACTCGACACTTCAGCTTCAACTGCTGGATGCTGCAGACTGTATCGGGTTTCAACACCTGTTTTTCGCATCTCATCATATCGTGTTCTGTTTTGTACTGTATATAGACCGTGACTCAGGCTTGCTCTCGTCAAATAATCGCTCTTCATTCTTATCTTCAATCATGAGAATCCGAGAACTGACTTGGTATGATTCAATGCTGAGTGGATAGGTATGACGACTGACAACATTAAGTATATTCACAAAGATATCGGAAGTTTTGATTTTGGAACCCTTATGTGATTCAATAATTCCATATCTAATATGATACGGCTTATCCGCCCAGTCCAAGGAAGCTCGATATTCATAGTAATCAGATCACGAATTATAGTGTGTATGGGTCGTAAGTCGTGACGGAGGATCCATCAACCGCAAAAACGTGTATTTAAAGCAAAAACAAAACGAAACAACTCAAACACACATCGCGCTACCTCCGTACCATCCCAACGCTCCGATTACTGATCCCCTGATCAAGACTACGCTTCCTCCGTTTCCCATTATCAACCGCAGACGACAACGCAGACTTGAGACTCGTAGCGCTCGCATTCTTCTTCGCATCTAACGAAATCGCCGCACCGGCAGCAGGCATGCTCAGTCTTCGTATCCAGCCCCTGGGCTTTTGAGGGTATGAGAGAATAGGAGGCTCGGGAAGACGTAGATCGGTGTGAGGAGAGGGTGAAACCTCTGGCGTGTGGTATTTAATAACATAACACGTATCACAACCGCAAAATGGCGCATGGTCTTTCGCGGGTAGAGGAGAAGACGGCTGTGAGTGCGATGGAGATTGAGATCCCCGTTGCGGTGAAGTCGAGTTCGTTGGAGGGACGAGGTGTGAAGTGCTTTGTGAGCCACGTTTGTGCTGGAATGGTGTCGCATGAGGCTCTCTGAGCCTGTCACTGGTACTGTTAAGGTCACCTCGTGCGTCAAGAAGAAAATGCATTCGATCGCGCTCGAAATCGCGCGTTTTCTGGTTAAGTTCTCGTTCGCGCTGTCGGAGCTCGTATTCTTTCTCCTTTAGCTCTAGCTCTGCGAGCTGTTCGATACGTTGCCTCCGCCTTCGAATATCTTCTTCGCCGAGAGCAACGTCATGGATGACATGGGAAGCAGGAGGGTCCTGATTGACCGCTTGTCTGTCGACGGTCGGCGAACGTCGAGGAGTCATGGGTTCATCTATAGGCTCATACCTAGAAGCGAGATCTGAAACGCTCATCGGCAAACGCGGTACATCTTTCGGCGCCGGAGAGAAGGGCTCGATCTTCATGCAAACAAAAATCAGCCCGGCACATCAAAGAATCAAATACCATCTACTCACCGAACGACTGTAACGATCAAGCAAAGCAGCAACGATATTCCCATTGCTCGTAGAACTATTAGAGCGCTCAGGCGTCTTCTTGACAGCATCGGTATTCCGGTTTTTGAATGCGCTGCGGCTCTCAACTGAAGCACCGAGCTCGCGCTCTGAAGGAGGAGTGTGCTCTGGTTGCTTGCTGCTGAGTATTTTCTCGCTTGAAGTCGTTTGTGCGATCATAAATAGTCGACCAAGTTTCGTTTCCTCGCGGAACTGGGATTGTGTCTGTTTAAGGACCTTCTTCTCGCCACCAGTCGATATGCCTGATTCAGCTATTTCCTGTGCCACTCTCTCTTCGAGGTGACTATCAGAGTACCTATACTGCGAAGATGAAGGCGTGGTCTGTCCCCGAGACGCAGAATGCAACTTGTGATCAACGAGCATATGCGTATCAGAGAGCGTACTCTCGATTGGCTGTGGGGAATCCTCTAATAGGATATGCTGTTGAGCTGGTTGATTTGGTTTCGAAACTTGTAAACTCTGCATTTGCATTCTCTGGCGTTGAAGCTCTGCTTCATTGGCAGCTAGAGGAATGGGGAAATGTGTCGGGGGGAAGGGGAACGCGCTGAGAGTCGTGATTGAGTTGATGGAGCCCTGGTTCTGATCCTGCTCGCTGGTGCTGAATGGCGGATGGGGGCGTTCGAGGTCAGCGGGATTGGCTTGTGAAGGGAGAAGAAGCGAAGTTTGGTATTCGTGTTTTCCAGGTGGGATGTTTTGACCCCATTCCGTTACCCCCCGGGCTGGAAGTGGAGCTCGAGCAGGCGCAGGTGATATGTCTAGTAGGTCATCGGGTAAGGGACCTGTCCATGCGCCTTCACAGAGAGCTCGCCATTCGCCGAGTGGCCCAATAGACGGGGAGAATCGACGGATGCTTTCACACGTCCGCGCCCATTCCGCATCTGCAACCCTCGAGAGGGAGGCTGCTACGTTATACGTAGTCGATGTGTGCTGTTGCGTCACGAGCAGCGCATGATTACTGTCGAATGCACGATCAAAACTACAGTACTGCGATAGGCATGCGTACAACGTACTATTTCTCCTGAGACATCTCAGGACCAAGCGTACTGAGCAGATTAACATAACGAGCGTGTTCTTCCCCGACATCGCGTGCGCTTTTCTTAGCCTTCTTCTCGTATGCCTGACCTTACAGGGACCGTTGAGACAATGCAGACCAGAGCGAACGACGACATGATGCGACGTACCAGCTTGCTTTATGCGAGCATTTGATTCATTCATATGTTCATCGTGAGCTTTCTCTTCTTTCTTCAGTAGTCAGTCAGCGAGCGAGGGCGGGGTGAAGTGAGGAACGTGATACGTACTGCGAGCTTCTTGAACCATTTTTTCACCTCTAAACTGATACTGCAACATTCCGTATCAGCTATCTTTGCAAACTTAGCATCGACGTCGGAAAGAACGTCGAATATGCTTGCGCTGACGTTCAAGGCGTTGCCTGCACACCGTGTCGTCTTGTAAGAACACCGGAGACTTGTATTTGGCAAAGTCAACTCACCTGCGACCTCACTCGTAGTTTTAAGGGCAGCGGTTTCTTTGAGGGTTTTTGAGAGCTTCCTCTGGAGCGTAACAATGGCCCCTGCAGCTTCGCAGTAGTCATTAAGCATGTTTACGAGTGTCTCGAGCGTTCGGCATGATTTGTGGATGTCTTGTCGTTCTGCGGGCCGTTGGGAAGTCGTGAGGCTTGACATGGAGAGTTGGAAGTAGGGAAGTAGTCAATGAAGACTTCGCTCCCTGCTCGCTTAAGCTTGCGGTCAGGCATCGGTGATGCTGGTGAAAGATGACTATCGGACTTTGAACCAACGCAAGAAACATGATAAGATAAATCCGACAGCGTGATAGCATACAAAATATTCTACAGTAAATCATGATAATTTGTTAGTTGTGAAGTCCAACTAGAAAGCAATGCATATGCGTGATGTGAGCGGGTCTCAGGGTGCGGGTCTGGAGATTCATTAGCAATTTGGCATGAATGAATGAAGGAGGCACGGACTAGTACTAAGAAGTGTGGTCGTGTCGGGTCCTTCCTTTCAATGTAGCCTAGTTTCGTCAGAATGTCCTTCTACACCTGTGCTACATCTGACAATGATCACGAATTCTGCAAAGTGCAAAGCAAGTGTATGCCTTACCTTGATGACTTCATGCGAAGCAAGCGTTTCCAAGGCTTCCGTCTGGACCGAAAATCGATACCAGGATGGAGTGGAATGATGTATTTGCTACGGGGTGGTGAATGCGATACGAGTGGGTGCTAGTCACATAACAGTGAGAAGCAGGCTAGGGTAAGAGAAGCGCGAGTTTACATTCAGCGAGCATGTGTCGATATTTCTTTGCTCTCTCAGTCCCTGTTGAACGTGCCCGTGGTCAGATGGATCACGCTGAACGTTTGATGAGAACTAGAACACGCCAGCGTCGAGAATACTGGACTTACATCTAAAGCGTCGGATGCGAAATATACGCATTGCACCTTGGTCAGCAGAGCATAATGGTCGCTGATCCACCTCCTCTGCGTCAGCTTCCCGTATTTCTTCCCAACAGCTATCTTCTTTGGGGTATCTACAAAGAAACCTGGACGAGGCGTATAGACTAACTTGTCTAGTCTTCCTGGTGTAAGCGGAGAACGAGGTTGATACCCCCAAGTAAAGCCTCCTTCATCGTCGCCGCTCCATGCATCCCACAAGCCAACAGATTCAACCAGTGCGGAGTCGTTAGGTGAAACAGCGTTAAAGTCACCTCCAACAATTCCTCCAAACAGCCCATCCTGTATTAAAGTATCAGCGATGAGCTTGAGTTGTTTCTCCCTGATTTGGACACCGTCGGGTAATGGGTCAAGATGGGTGTTCGCAATCCGCAAGGTGACGACAGACTCGGACGATGAGGGAGCTTGAGCTGTGTCCAGGAGACCGCTTAGTTTGACGTCTACGAAAGTAGCATGGTGTTGTGATTCAGAGCAGCTGAACTGAAGAGAAGTTGACTTTGTGATGTGGAGGGAGCGAGAGAGGAGGGTGACTGTGCCATACTTCGCAAGTTTAGGCCAGGCGTCTGTGGTTGGAGGAATAACGACGAAGAAATTCTGGACCCACTTGTTATTGATAATGGTATTGAATGCAGTGGCTAGGACGCCTTGAAGGAGGATAGAGCACGGTTCAGGACGTCTACTATTTGTTCTGCACTTGAAGACCTGATGTTGGATATAGGAGAGAGCAGCGTCTAGGCGAAGGTCTGCTTCCGGCCTCATGCAATCGATGTTCCATGATACGACTCGGATGGAGCTGGGCATATGTTCTGCTCTATCTTGAGTCGGACCTGGAAGCCATTTTTTCGATTCAGCAATGTAATGCGCTGGTTGAATGTCTCGATGGGTGTCCATGTCAGCCATGGCCCTCCTTCGAGGCCTGGCATGTGTAGATGAATATGCTTATCAACCAACAGCCAATCAAATCTATGTAATACAAATAAGGCGGCCAAACAAGCGACGTCGGCGAATAACAACTTTCATCATTTCACTAGTCCCCACAACTTAGGAGTGCGGTGGACGCTGTTGCACGGACTAGGATCGACTGCAGGCCGCTGAGCCGCGGCTCACAAGCGAACCTCTATGGGTCACTTGACCATCATATTATAACGTGGAGCTTCATCGACGATACCGCTGGTTGATTCTATTCAATCATAATCCTACACGTTCAAAGTTGAGTTTTCGATGCCGTTTTTCGACTGTCTGGGAAAAAAGATTCGTTTCAACGACACGGACTCTATGTTATCTGATCGCCGAACGGCTCGTTGTCCGAGCTGTCACCTATGCGTGCTGGTTGCCAATAACCACGAGGGAGTTGTTAGAAACACGCCAGGACTGTTCTTGTGGTATATCGTAATGTTGCAGATCATGCACGTAGTCGTCGACAACAAGAGAGTCGCCTCATTCACCAACTCCTGAGTATACCAAGGACGACGACAAATCAAGTACCATCAACTCCAGACGACGACCAAACTGGCAGTGTCTTGTGTTGATTTCCCGAGTAGATGATATGATGAGGGTTTATACCATAAATCTGAAGTGAAGGTGTGTACCGTAGCCTCTAAGAAGATTTGGAAAGCACAGACCAGAACCACGATTGACCCAAATCTTTTGGTAATGTGAGTCGGTCGCGGGAGAGTACTAATTGCAATCAATACTGTTCCGGGGCCGATATCAGAGTTCGTCGCTGAAGTGCATGAGTGCATTGAAAAATGACGAATCGGCGAAGGGGTAGATTTCCACATTTTCTGTAGGATGTTCATGGAAACTAACCAATCGGGGCCCATCCAACGTTAAAACCGGTTGTGCGGAGTTCGTTGCCGAGGAGCATCGATGCATTGGGTCCTCCCGTCACCCTCCAACAAGCCTATGAGACCTGCTAAGTCAGGTCACCTTCTATCCACCATGCAAGTGAGAAGCGAACATTGGCAATTATATCAGTGAAAGAACTTGTCATGTCGAATCCCTTCAAATTCTGCAAGATGCAGAAGTTGCGGTCTGCCACTCAGTTTGACGAGGCAGGCAGTTTATTATTACGATCCTTGGCCGCAACTCTCAGTCACGACACGATCTTGTTTCAATATCATAATATAGAAACGAATCAAATTTGAGGCCTTGTTTGGAAGTCCAGCTGCAGAAAGATAAGAGATTATACTCACGTCTATGATTGCAAGGGAATACATACAAGATCGCCATCGCGGATAGTACCTCAACGAGCCCAGACTCAACACTGATATCACCATGATGGTTGGTGTGCGCTGGTGATATGCCGAAGCTCTTTCCTTTCCACCATCAAGTCAGTGTTGAGCTCTTCCTCGAGAGCGATAAATTCATTTGTCATGAAATGCGACTAAGTTCGAGCGGCTACCTCTAGCATAAATATCAACCCCGACCAAACGATGAATAATACTGACACAAACCGATACAGCCCTAGACTTCATATTGCATTTGAAGGCAATTATACGACCGCATAGCATTGACACGATCAGCCTGAGGATCGATCGAACCTAAAAGTTCCTGACTTGTTCCTCAAGCTAGTTCCATAGCTCTGAAGCCTGCTATGCATCCTGCGCATCTGCGTGTGTTCCCAATGCATGGCCATGGAACAAGATACTGTCCAGGATAAGTTTGAGTTTATTCAGGAGATAAGGGTCTAACCTTTCCGTTAAGATTCGCTCCTTCTGTAGTGGTTTCAGCATATAACTGCGTGAGCGCGCCAAATGATACATCATAAAAGGAGTCACGATAACGGCCAAGCTCCGTCTTGATACCACCCGGGTTGAGTGCTGTCGAGACTACACCCTGGTTGCCATATCGTCTGGCTACCTCAGCTACAAATAAGATATTGCCCTTTTCACATAGAAATTTAGGAAAGGGTTTGATACAATGGATATAAACCTGACCATTTTGCTTTGGCCATAGAGACTCATGGCGCTCTTCTGTTTCCTGGCGGAAGAGTCCTTGAACGTGTCATAGTCTAGACGACCGAACCAGTGAGCGTTAGAGGCAGTGTTGACAATGCGTGCAGTTCCGTCAGGTGACTGCGCGGCACCCGCTAGAAGTGCAAGCATAATAATTTTCGTGAAGTAGAAGTGACCTAGGACATTTGTGCCAAATTGCAGGTCATAACCGTCGTCCGTCAACAACTCTATAGGAGGGGCCATTACCCCACTGAGCGACATACTAGCAGATGATGCGACGACAAGTTAAGCAACACTTGCGCGTTGTTGAATAGGACGTGTAGTACGGGTTCACTTTAAAGGGACCCGTTAGTTATCTTGTTGCTCAATAAATTCAACGCAAACGTACCGCAGAAAATCTTCTCCAGAAGCTTTGACGGACTTCAAGTTTGCCAAGTTGAGTTGCAAGAAATACACTTCTTTTCTGGTGCTCTTTAGGTCGCGAATAGCGTCTTCACCGGCTTCACCCTTGGCCTTGTCGCGACAAGCAACGTAAACCTTGGCGTTTTTTGTGAGGAGGACCTAGCCATGAAAACGTCAGCATGAGGCAAATACGACGATGAGAAACAGACTCTGGCGGTCTCTTTGCCTATCCCTGAATTTGCACCGGTGACGAGAACAACCTTTCCGGACATGCCCGGGAGTCAGACGCGTGAAACTTCGTTGAAGGAGGATAAGTCTCGCGAATGTACGCTGACCAAATGTGCATGTGACCCATGATGAATGAAGAAGTGGGATGAAGATGGATACCCGCTCCATGGCAGTCGAGCGCCCATCTATAGATGATTGATTATTTATATCCGAGACTGTTTGCTCCGCTGTCCCCGCACGTGTCTGAACACTCTCGCGATCATATGCGGACTTCTCATGGCAGAACCATATCTACGTCACTTCTTCTGCAGCGGGCATGACTTCTGCACTTGGAAAGATTGATCCAATCGCATACTAATATGCTGTCTAGACAATATCGTACTCCAGCCATCGAATCAATGTTTGGAGCCGCGATCTGCGTAATTGTGGTCGTTGCAGTATCGGACGATAACAAGGGAAGATACAAGCTGGCCGGTGCAAGGTCCTACAGACTACTATGTAGAGGAAGTTACTATACCACTTGTACGGCACGTGATCCTCAGTGTCATCGCGGAACCAAATTCCACTCCAGTCCTCCTTTATAATATCGTAGTCGTGTGCGGATCGCTCAGCTCGCACAAAATACGAAAGGAGGACGATAGTATGACAGCGGACTCATGGTCGGAAGCTGGTGTATCCCACTCTAACTTATATTTATTTTCCCTCTATCTCTGGCCAATCAATGTTGTCGAACTCGACAAGCGATGCAGTGAGGGTAGAGAGCAGACGAATGAACCAAGCCTGCTAAGTGCAGAGCAAAGTCTCTATTGTTCCTAGGATGCTGTGTCATTGATCCATCTGCTGTATACTACCTGAAGATGAAGGTCAGCTCACATGACGGCGACACCTTGTACTTTAGGGACGATATCTTGCAGGATGGGTAGTAACCGTGGTGCCTTTAATCTAAGCGCCATATCGGTTACATATATTATGACGAACCGAGATATGAATGTGAGCCCACAGAAGGTTGTTCGGTAGAGGTCATCCTGCCCCGTGTCGTCGTCCAGTCTCGTTGAAGGGGCTATGCTTGGAGCACGTGCATTTGTGAAGCGATGCGCCTTCCCAACCGGCAAAGCAAACAGGTTTCCCAATGTCGAATCAGAGAAGGCTTAGTTTTAAATAATTCTCGTGGGCTGGCGTCTATTGCAACTTTTTGAGATCGACCTTTATTCTAAGGAGACTTTATCGGTTTATGGCACTATCTATGAGCTCAGGCTCAAGTAGTCCTCAGTGGGATAACCGTCATCGTGGTTTTATTTCTCCCGCCGAACTACAACAGCTCAGACAAGCTAGTCCAGGCAGAGGAACCGATCTACACGAGTTTCACGCACGACAACCTGCAACAACTCCTCCAGGCGACAACAACCCTAGCGCTGGAGCGGTAACATTAACAACTCAACAGGAGGACCAGTCGGTCTCGAGACCCGCTCAACAACATCAATCAGTCGCTAATACAATGTCACACCTTCGCACTTCATCTTTCTTTTCTTTTCGAAAACAGCTGCAGCATCCAAGTGACGCAAATACAGATCACCACCAGCAATCTAACCGACGCCCAAGCACCGGCGCGCAAGACCGCGACTTTGCACCACAAACCAACCAACAGCGCGCTCAAACAATGGGTCCAATGCGCTCCTCGCCAGAGAAACAGGATGACCAAGAGTCTGACACGGCTTTAGCAGCCCGCAGAGATTCTTTATCTGTCCCCCCTCTTCATCCTGAAATACGCTCCATTGTCCAGCTCACTGTCGCGCATGCCCGCAAGGTTTACTTCAGCGGTCCACTGGTAAAACGCGTTCAGCGCCAGCCGGATGGCCAACGTCCTAAAGATGATACATGGGTTGACGTTTGGGCACAGCTTAGTGGCACAACGTTGAGCATATGGGACATGAAGGAGATCGAAGAAGCAAACAAGAAAGGTCTCGAGGTGCCTCCTACCTATGTCAATATCACAGACGCTGTGAGTTCATTCAGTCCTCTTTCTGTGCTGGTGGTGATAACGCTTCCTGTAGTTCGTTCACGTACTAGGTTCAGTGACTGGCCCCGCCGAGAATTCAGATCAACCGCGCAAGACATATACGAACGTCTTCACTCTCAACACAGCAGGCTCTAATTTGCTTTTGTTCAGCTGTCCGTCAACACCGGCATTGGAGTCATGGGCAACAGCTCTACGATTATCGGCTTGGGAAAAGTCTCGTCTCGAAGAAATGTATACTGCCCATTTGATACGTATCACATTGCTTGAAGGTCAGTTCTCTCACTGGAGCATGTTCGGTACTGACGTCATGTTTTTAAGGTAAAGACACCCGCTCAACTCTCGTCCGTGGCCGCATGGAAGGATGGGTACTCATACGCGTCGCTGGACAAACAGACTGGAAACGCATGTGGATGGTCATCTCTGGGTCACAAACTTCGTACACCGAACCTGGAGCTCCGTCTACTACCACTAGCACAGTACCTACTCCCAAGAAACGCATGTCAAATCTCTTCTCGCGGGATCACTCCCCTGAGCCTCTACCCATGAAACCTTTGCTTGCACTTTATGCCTCTCCTAGGCCAAAGGACAAGAAGCACCCCCTCCTCACGCTTAGGGAGGTCTCACAGGCGTTTGCGGTGTACCCAGAGCGCCCGGAATTGATCAATCGCAGCACGCTCATGAAAATTGAGGGTCTGATTGGTGACGAGGAAATGGCAGGCACGATGAAACGAAGGGAGGGGTGGATGCTCATCATGCCTGAGCTCGAAGCAGGGAATACGCAAGCGTCCGAGATGCTCAAGTGGCTTGTTGGTGAGTAGACTATCTGAGTCGCGCAGAACGTGACGACTCATCTCTTATTCAGCGCTTCATGACGCCTTTGAGCTATACGGACGTCCAAAAGTATACACCTGGGACCCTCGTGATCCAGTCTCGCTGATGTTTGCTTATCCAGTCAATCCTGGGAGAGACGTAAGTGCAAGTTACTTTTCAGCACAAGTCCATTGATTTATTCGACGATAGCTCCTGTTCCTTGATCGTGAAGTTGCAGAGTCTATGGACCCACGTGACGACCGCACCTCCGCCATTCGCAATCGTCTTCTAAATATCCTCCACTCGCGCATGCCCGAACTACGTGCCGCATCAACCCAGCCCCCCCTGCTACCCATTAGTTTGGGTGTTAATCCGAATCGCCCTCAACAGCAACAGCCACAACCATCACAGAATCTTGCTCAGCCCCGATCGCAAACTGAGAATGATCAGCCTGTTAGTGCCCCCCAGCTCCTTACGATCAATTTCGACTCGCGCTCACCACCAAACCTCACTGTCGGTCACGCTCTCTCTCCCATCACGGAACGGAGTGCAACGCGTGAGACGCTTCCGGATCTTTCTCATACGCAAAGCCGCTCGATGTCGAATGAGCACCATGAGCCTGAGTCGATGATGATCAGCAGCTCGTCGATGTCGAGTGAGAAGCCAGATTCGGTGGGGCAGTCAATGAGCAACGGACATCAGGACTTTATGTCGCGTTCCATGTCCGAGCATAGTCAATCGCACATGCTTACTTCGTTGAACCCGGTTCTAGAGAATGTACCTGGGTCGATGACAGGTCTCTCACTAACTGGACACCCCCCTGCTACGTCGCGTGCTGACTCAAGGCTCACGTCGAGCTTGGATGCTGCACAAACGAGGAACACAGAGCTGTCAAGAGCTGCCAGCGTAGATGTTGGCGGGTTTAAACTTCCTCTTACGCCTGAGTCTCCAGGATCACCTACATTTTCTACAGGCTCGACAAGTCCCAGTTCGGGTAATGGTGGGCCTACTTCGCCAGGAATGTTGTTGTCGTCCGTTATTGCACCCGTGCCCATCAGATCACCGGCTTCGAGAACTCCCCCTCCTTCCTCACCCCTTACATCACCCTATTCTCCCAAAGGGAAGGATAAAGAGTTACCTTCTATTCAAGATGTACAAGATGTTCTACAGCTACCACCTCGAGCATTGTCCCCGCCTCACCCATTTATCACGCAGCGTAATGCAGGATCACCGCCCTTGCCTCCCAAAGCCAGATCACCAAACCCGACACCGCAGACGTCTGTCTCTGTAGCAACAGTTCCTGTCGTCCCCGCACAGCCCCTAGTACAAGATACTCAGAGTATCTTTTCAGACGCTCTCTTTTTCATGCAACAACTCGACGAAAAGCCCCAAAACCCGCCGCGGCGTGTTCCAACCACCATTTCTGAAGCTTCAAATTCCGAAGAGAGCTCAGCGCCTGATAACCGATTGCGCCCATCACCAACGCACCGGGGAACGCCGATGTCATTCTCAGAGCTGGGAAGGACGGAAGCTAATAATATTAGCGAACACAGCATGATTGGCTCACGCCCTTCTCTCGGCCGTAAGCCGTCCGGTGCACGTGTCCAACCTATTTCTAGCCGAGGCCCAAATGTGGAAGCCACTTCAGTTTCCTCACCTTCTTTAGAGCACGTTCACGTCCAAGCCATGACGGATTCGCAACAGAAGATCATCCAAAAGCAGAATGGCGCCGACGACGTTAATGTAGATGCACTTGCTGCGTTGTCTTTCCTTGATAGTGCATCTGACGTCGCACCTCCCCGTGCAACTACATCCCAGCCGCCGCCGCCGCCGGTAGAACAGGACCTGTCATCAGAGCCTACTGTCGAGGGTAGCGCTGCATCCGAGAGCTCTGAGGGTGTTACGCAGTACAGGTCGTCATTTGCACCGTCCAAGCAGGCTGCACAGCGAAAGGCGCGTGCACAAGCGCAACATCAGGCAGTACTTCACAAGCCTGGGAGAGCGAACGGGAAGCGTGTCAAACCTGGGAACGGGCTCTCTGGGTGGAATGAGAGCAGTGAGGAAGAGGAGGAGGAAGAGGAAGAAGAGGAAGACGAGGATGCTGATTCTGACGAGGAACCCCCTTCGACCTTGGAAAGCAAAAAGCCGGCTCCTGTCGTGCCTGTGCCGGTTCCGGCTGTCAGACCCCTGCGTCCCAGTAGTGCAGGGCGTGCTGTGACGCCTGGAGAACAAGCGACCGACGCGAATCCCTACGCGCAGTTACGACATCCTCGTAATCTGCCGCCTGTTCCAAGGCCGCTCACACAAGGTCAGCATACCTCTCTTAGTTGAATTTTCAGAGCTGATGATGATCTACAGGCGGTGTGCCAGATGACTACATGAACGCCATGCCACCACCTCGGCGACTCGCTTCCGATCAGCACATGCGAACACTAG